GTATATTATTTTATACTAGTTTTTTATTTATATTATTTATAAAAAAATATTTGTATATTTAATATTATTTAATAAAAATTTTATTGATTATAAATGCATTTTAAATTCTGTTTGCAAATATAAAATATACGATTTAATTGAATAATATATACTATTTATCAGTACAAAATATGCAGTTTTAAACTGGAAAAAAGTACTGTTTATCAGTATAAAATATACGGTTTATCCTGAAAAAGTATACTGTTCGCAATATAAAATATAAAACAATATACTGTTTATTGGTATAAAACATACAGTTTTTCTACTGTTTACAAGTATAAAACATACGGGTGAAACTGGAAAAATATACTGTATGCAAACCGTATATATGATACGGTGTGCAGAATACCGAATATATACAGTATGTGAAAATACTGTAATAATAAAGTAATAATACTATAAATATACTGTTCGCAAAATACGAAAATACAGTATACTAACCGTATATATATTTTTTATAGGGTATTTACACAGTACATATCTGATACATATCTGCTACCCGATATATTAGTTTTTGACTAGTGTTTTATTTTATATTTTCATTTTAATAAAAGAATTGCATATACAAAAATGATCTGTGATGCAAAATAATTTAATAAAATTAAAAAGATTGAAAAAATATTTTTATTAAATTGTCAAATTTATCTATTTTAAAGAATCAAACAGCTATCGATGATTAGTCAATATTATATAGTTATCACGTGAATGCATTTATGGAGAATGTTCTGATATATCCAGAATTTAGAATTACATGCATATGTAGAATATAGAGAGTATGCACTTAGCTCTAAGTTCCTAGCTTGGGACTAAGCTATGGCATGCATATTAAGGTTGCTTGCCAAAACCTAGGAGTTTAAGCAAGATGGTGTTTTACCGAAAAGCGAAATTCTGCCGAAACTATAAAGTTATATTAAAAAACTGGCAAAACTTTGGAGAAAAGAGAAACTGCAAAAACTTATTATAAATGCAAAAACTGCAAAAACTCTGCTGAAACTATAATAAATCTATAGTAAAATTTTGACAAAACTAATCGTAGGATTTTGAAGAGGTTTAGACAAGCAACCTTAGTGCATATAGGAAAGGAATGCACTTATAGAGGGTGTACTTATGGAGGTGCAACTGTACTTATTTATTTTAGTTATAATTTTGTTGAACTTTTTAGTTTTACTACTTATATATATATTTATTTAGATATTATTCAAGAATATTACTTTTTTTAAAAAAATTATAAAATTTTGTCTCAGAATATTTTAAAACTTTTAACTTTATCAATTGGAATATATTATATTTAATTACTATATAATGTTTATATTTTCTGTAAATTTAAAATTTTATTATTTTATTATTTATATAATTATTTTTTTGACTTTATTAAAAAAATAATATTTTATACATACTATATATAAATATATATAAAATATTTTCATACTAGTATTACTAGTTAAAAACATATTATTATAGAATTTATCAAAAAAAAAAATAGATTAATAATATTTATTAATTTAATTAATAAAGTTATTTTATTTAATATATATTATGATATTATAAATAAAAAAAAAATGCCAATAATTTAAAAAATAATTAGCTATTAAAATCTGAAGATAATAATTTAATGACTAAAGTATATATATATATATATCAGAAATTATTAAAATATTTATTAAATATAAATTATAATTGATAAAGTTTTGCAAAACCTTATAGGTAATTATAACCTTTAAAATTGGTTATAATTGATAAAGTTTTGCAAAACCTTATAGGTAATTATAACCTTTAAAATTGGGTATAAACAATTTTTGTTGTATATACTATATATATTAATAAAAAAAAAAATATTATTAGTTATAATTTAAAATATTTCTTTTTCTCTTTAATATATATATAGTATTATATTTTAACTTAACCATTTATTTTTCCATTTTAGAAATTACATCATCAATATCTTTAAAAATAAATTTACCAAAAGCCAAAGATTTTGGCCACCAAGTTGTTACAGGTTTAGAAAGTATATGTAAATGAATATGATTTATACTATTAAATGGTGGTGAAACAAAACCCATTCTAAAAAATCAAAAAAATCAAAAAAAAAGGGGGTTAAAGTTAAAAATAAAATTATAAATAAAAAAAATTTTTTTTTTTTTTTTTTTTTTTTGATAAACTTACTGATATGTTTTTCCCTTATTTAATTCATCAACGGATTTATTTAATCTACAAGAGATTATATTTAATCCGACTTCTTTCATTTTTTTAACTAAAAAAAAATTTTTTTTTTTTTATAAGAATTAATAATATGTAACTCGATGTTTTAATAAAATTTAATTATTATGATAATTTACCTGTTTCCAAATCATCTTTTTTTAAATTATTAATACTAGGGATATGTTTTTTTGGTACAACAAGAATATGATGAGTTGCGGATGGTTTTATATCATTAAATGCTACGACTATTTCATCCTAGAGAATAAAAAAATTTTTATTTTAAAAAAATTTTGTGGGAACGAATTCAATGAAACTAATTAAAATAAAATATATTACTCACAACATGAAGTAAACTTGTAGAATCTCGACTTGCTGATATAGAACAAAATAAACATTCTTCATGGTTTTCGTCATGATTACTATGATTATTACTATCGTCATGATTATTACTGTCATTATGATTATTACTATCGTTATGATCATTACTTTTATTATGATCATTAGTATCATTATGATCATTACTAGTATGATCGTTAATATCGTTACTATTACCAGAAGCCATTTTTTTAAAAAAAGATTATTATTTTTATTATTATTATAAAAAAAAGAAATAATAAAAAATTATATATTTTGATAAGGGATAAGAAATTCGGGACAATTTATATTTGATAAGATGTTGGGCTGAGTTTTTCCTTTCTAAGGAAAAAAGGATGTTCATTTCGGCATATGCAAATAGGCATTCATTTTCTAATTAATACTATAGTATGAATAAAATTTCCTTAATTCGAATAGTTCATTTTATAATCGGAGAAATGATTGAGAATGAATTTTTCTAGAAATAACGTCAATAACGTCATTTCAAGGGGCTCATATTGTTCATATCAATTAGGTTAATTGATCGAAAGGATGCACAAACTTTAGAAATACTTATCATTATCAATCTTTTTCGACCCCTTTTTATCAAATGAAAGTTAAATAATGCGTTGTTACGCAGCTAATAAATTATAAGTAAATAAAATCTTTTTTTTTTTTTATTTGCGAAAGAGATATGAGCTGCACTGCAAGTAAGACTAGTTATTTGTCGATTAAGTTTAAGATATACAATAAAATGTATCCTGTATAACTGTATATGTACTATAATAAATTAAGGTGCGCTCATTAATAGTCGCAGTAATTTTTGAATAAAAAAATTTTTTTTTTTTTTTTTTTACATACATTACAAGAGAATAAATAATAAAATTGTGCTAATGCAAAAGAAAAAGTATAATAACAATAAAAAAGCTAAACCAATCAATAGTTTACCTTAATTGTTAATAACTTGAATAAAAAAAATGCCACATTTCATAATATACTGTATAATAAATGTCTAAAATTAAAATGACCCAAAAAAAATTTCTAGAAAACATCTACAATAAAATGAAACTAAATACAAGAATAAAACTATTCACAAAAAAAAAATTGGTTGTTACTTAAAAAAAGTGATTGTCTTAGATTATAAAATTGTTGAAAATAATTGAAAATGAGGTTTTTTTTTGACATCCTTATGTTTATATATGTTTTATATATTATTTCTCCTAATCAATTAATGAACGAATTCATCAATTTGAGAATCACCATGTGTTCGTTTTCCAATGGAAGTTAAATGTGAAACACAACTCCAAAGACCAACTTCACCTTCAAGTCGTACTTTACGTTCAATATCACGTCTAGTACTCATTGCTTTTTCAGAGTTATTATCATCATCTTTTCCACTGCTACTATTACTACCAACACTCACAACACTTTTAGCATCATCATCATCCATATTTACTGAATCATCACTACTACTTTTCTTTCTTCTTACAGTAAATTTTGTAACAGAAGTATTTTTTGCTTTATATTTCATACTTAAATAATCATTAACATTAAATCCAAGATCCATAATTATATGTTCTTTTACCAATTTATTTATAACACCACCATGTGATACGATAACAATATGTGGATTTCGTTTCTTTCCAGGTTGTTTTGGACTTGATGGTAAATCACTTGAACTTTTTGGTAAATGAGTAGCGATTATATCATTAAAGAAATCAACGACTCTATACCGAAAATCATCATCTGGTTCACCATAATCATCCCATGTAAGACCTTCATTTTTAATTAAATCCAAAGATTGTTGAATTGATAAACCACTTAATCTTCCAGAGTCCTAAAAAAATTATTATATTTAAATTAGATCGAAACAAAATAAATAGAATAAATGAAATGAATATATTATTTTTTAACTTACTTTTTCACGAAGTCGAATATCTGTTGTTACTGGTGTATCAGGATGATGTTTGGCGATAGCTTCTGCTGTCTAAAAATATATATATATAAAATTTAGTTAGTTTATCCGACAAATTAATTGTTATGCATCACACATTTGAACTTACTTTCTTTGATCTAGTCAAGTCACTTGTATAAATATGGTCAATTTTTACTTTTCTTAAACGCCTACCAACAGACTCTGCTTGTTCTCTTCCGGTTTTATTCAACTTTGTGTCTAAAAACAGAAAAGAAGGTTAATATAATTAATTAATTAATTATCGAAAAAATATCCTTATCCTTATTATATATATTAAACTTTTTACATACCTATTTGACCTTGTAAAATATGGTTCAAGTTAGAGTTTGTTTCAGCATGTCTAATAACTGTAACGTGTAACTGCGGTCGAGAAGACATTTTTTTTTTTTTTAAATATGATATAAAATAAATAATAATAAGATAATAAGGATAAATTATATAAATATTGTTTATTTTGGCGTATATATATACGTATTTTTCAAAAGAAAAAAAAATATATATTTATATTTTTTTTTTTTAAGAAAAATTTGGTATTATGTTCACTGTCTCGTCGCTTTTTATGCGGCGGCAGTAAAGAAAAAAAAAAGGAAAAAAAAGAGATTTGATATTTAAATAATAAAAATAATAATCTTTGATCGACCTAAAGTTTTGGTTGTGCAATTGTTTAATCGAAAGGAACACAACAACAATAAATAAAAATAAATATTTGAAAGGATTAAGGAAAAACCGAAAATAGAAAAAAAGAAAAAAGAAAAAATATATATATATATTTTTTTTTTAAAAAAAAAAGTTTTTTAAATAATTTATTTTTTTTTTCTTTTTTTTTTGTGTGGGATTGGGAGGTATAAATACTTTTCGATCATTTCACCCAATTTAACAATAAGCTTTATACTAACTATCCTTATACTATCTGTTAAAGTATATAATTTTTACGGCAGGCAAAAAAATAAAGGATCGACTTTATTTTAAAGTAAAAAAGAATTTATTATTATGAACTATATTTTGATCTCAAAAGAAAAATATCCCATCATATTAACCATAATTAGTTCAGTTTTTTAACACAGTATAGTACAGCATTTTAACATAGTCAGTTAACACAGTTTTCTTTTTGTACCCGTTCAACAATGACATGAAATTCTAGTTGATACTAGATGTATCCTATATATTATATGTCATATGTAACTAATAAATTATTATTATAATTATTATAATTTATAATTTAAAAATTCCCACACAAAATGAAAATTAATTGGAGGATAAATTGAGAACGTGATAAATTTGTATTACGTATTTGGCGTTTTTCTTTGATTACTTCTTTATTATTATTTCAATACCTTTTTATCAAAAAAAAGATTATTAAAATAAAATAAAAAAAATATGCAAAAGTAGATTGATAAATATTTATATTCCGAGAAAGAAGAAAAAAAAAAATATTTCAATTAAATGATTTACAAAAAAGTTGTACACTTGTGACAACAACAGCATGAATAAAATAAATATTTATTAATTACCAAGAAAGATATTAGATATTTATATGTCACGAAAAAAAAAAAAAAAATAGTTTGTATTACAATAACATAAGCGGAATTTATCTAAATTTATATACTTATTTTAATAAAAGGAATATATCGGAATAAAGAACGGAAACTTTGATTTAATCACAAAAAGTTTATTATGTAATTTATGTAATTTGAAATTACTTTTGAAACATTACTTGTTCCTAAATTACACATGCTTTTTAAGCCCAAAAATTCTCCACAATGCAAAATATATCAAATAAATCAAAATAAATCAATATCATTCACTTTAAACAATTAACTTTACATATTTTATGAAATTCAAATGTTTCCACAGTATTAATATTATTAGGTCATCAATATGTTAGGTGAATCTCATTGTTTTAATATAATGTCGCAGTTATGCTTTATGTCTCATGACCTTTTATTTATTTGAATTAAATGAGGTAAGCGAAGCCAAAGGAAGCATGAGTAAACATAAGTAATATGAGTAACATAAGCGGCAAAATGGCAACTAACCATTCAAGTAATTCATGCAATCATTTCATCCTAATTATCCAGGAATCCGGCTCATAATGATCGTATTACATTACATTAATCGAATCCCAAAATATCCGGAATCTTGCGAGTTTAAAGTATATCGGATTTTATATTTTATATATTCCGATTTTTATTTTCATTTTATTTTCATTTTATTTCATTTTATTTCATTTACATTTAACATAAATCATTTTATCATTTCCCTCATTTAAATGACATTTTTTACGACGTTTTATTTTTAATTTTTGAGATACCGTCGGATACGACCGAAAACAAAAAAAAAAAATATTTTTTCCTTCTTTTGCATATTTATTTATTTATTCGTTTTACAACGAAATACGACGAAACATGTTTACTGATCTTTCATATTTGGTAAGAAAGAGAGATAATTTTGCCTAAAGTAATGTTTGAAGTTTATCATAATAAAATGTGCCTTTAGGCAACTCTCATTTGTTTCACTATACTAAGTAATTTATAAGTAATTCGTAATTGTTTATCAAATTATGCAGTTTTGTTTTGGATGTACTAAATCCTTTTTTTATTCAAGGTTCATAACTTTCATATTTAAACAAACATTATCTGTTATTATTACTTGTCGGATTTTTTTTAACGAATAATTTTCATAGGGGGGAAAAATTATTACATTACATTTATATTAATTATATTGAAAACTTATTTTTCTTTTTTCTTCCTTTTTTTTTTTTTTTTTTTTTTTTTTTTTTGTAAAACAAAAAAAAATGATTCTTATCTTTCTTTGCTTTCTTTAAATAATTTCAAAGAATCCTTTTTTAAGTATAAAACTATTTGTTATTTATTTATTTATTTATTTATTTCCTGTGTAATTCTTACTTGAAAATTCGCCACAACTAAAAAGTTGAAATTAAAAATCAAAAAATCAAAAAAAATCAATGAATCAATGAATCAATGAAAAATGAAAATCAATCCCTATCTTACTAAACTGATAATAAACTGTCTAAAAAGTCTAATACAAAAATTCACTATAATCACAATAAATCATGAGAATATATATCATTAACTGTTAAGTTTAAAGTTATAATTACTACTTACTGTATGTTACATGTACTGTACTGTATATAATGTGTTGATAACCTTGTTATTGTGTTCAGAATATTCGAGATCTTAAATATTCAAAATGAATGACCAATGAAAATTTTTATTTTTATACTTTATATTTGAATGAAATTAAAATTTGATCTCTTTAACTTCAATAAACATGTCTCAAACTCTCTTTTTTTTCGCTCGCTTTCAATATTGTTGGATTGGTTGGTTACAATGGTTACAGCGGTTACAGTCGGTTACAGTGGTCACAGTGGTTACACAACCTGACAAACTAATGATTATGATCGACAGTTAAAAATTTTTCTTGTGTTCCCTCAAGTTTCTAAATTTATTTTATTTTCTTTTTTTAATCTTTTAAAAAAATGCCTTCTCAAAAATTACACGATCCTTGGGCTAAACGTGAAGCTTGGCGTAATGCTCCTCATTTTTCTCCTCGTTATTCTTTAAGACATGCTTGGCCTGGTCTTTCTTGGGGAATTGGCGCTTTTATCATTTATTTGGGTATTGATGCTGTAACTTCTCGAATGAATGCCCATGATAAACATATTGAAACAAAGGAATCTCAAGCTCAAACCGGTTAACCCTGGGTTAGTATTATTATAAAAAAAAAAAAATAAAAAATAAAATAAATAAAGTTTGTATGATATCTCTTTAACTTAATAGGTAAATAATTATTATCATTTGGTTTTTTATTACTTAAATAGGTAAATAATTATTATCATTTTGTTTTTATTATATTAACAAATTAAAATCTAAATTAAATTTTATAATCAATAGGAATATATGTATTAAAATTGGAGATATATAATAATAAAATTTTGGTGTTATTGCAATAATGAAATTAATGAAACAGATTCAATTATAATAATTTAGATCTATTGTATAATTTATCAGAAAGCTATTTCACACTATTTCACAACTATTTCACAATGATTTCTCACCAAATCATAATTAAATAAGGAAATATAACTTTCCTAGGAATTTTATTAATAATTTTAACTTCGATTATCCGTTTTTCTTTTTTGTTTCTATTTGTCTTCTGATATCTGATAATAAATCATTTACTGCTTGTTCTGGGTTTGTTAATTGTAAAACTTTGTTAAAACTTTCGTTATTTGTTGAATCTGTAGATGATGATGATATATTAGGGATATTTGTAACATCTGAAATGACTGATTCTGTTGTAGTATCTTCTGTTGATCGTGTAGAATTCGTTCCATTTTTTGAAGATATTTTTCGTCTTTTTACTCGAATCATATCCATCCTTGCATCCAACTGTGCTTGTCGTTTTTCTTTAATGGTTTGACGTGATGCTCGTTTCAATTCAGTCTATAATAAGTAAATTATTGATAAAGTAAATTAAAGTAAATTTCTATAAATCTATTACATCTTTTCTTATCCCTCTAACTATAACTTCAGAGATACAACAAAGTCACTACTTCACTAGCCAGCTTTGCCTTTCATTCGTGACTTAGATAGAGTATTTTGCAAATATAGCCAGAATACAGTTAAAGGGATATCTTTATATATCTTTTATATCTTTACAAACCTCAAGACGCAACTGCTTCAAAGCACGCATTTGTTCTTGACGTTCCTCTTCATCTTTAGAAAATCGATAGAAACCAACACCCTTTGTTCGAATTTCTACAGGATAAAATGAAATCAGATATCAATATTTGTGGTATCTCATATAAGAATTTAATCATGAAATATGGATTCAAACCTTTCGTTTCATCATAATGGATAGGACCGATACCCGCTATAAAAAAAAAAAAAAAAAAAAAAAAGATTTTATTTTTTTAATATATTATCTTATAATTCATTTATATCTCAATTTATTTATATCTCAATCTACATACAATTCAACTCTTTCTTAGCAGCCTCTTCCCAACGTTGTAGTAGTAGCTCCTCCGGTATCATTTCATTATCATCGTTTGGTATTGTTGGGCTTTAGGTTAAAAATATATAATTATATATTAGATAAATTATATATTAGATATTGGGTATTTTAGGTAAAAAAAAGAATAAATTGTATACCCAATGACCGGTGATTCTGATTTAGGTACTTCACTTTTTCGTGCCACGCGTGTTCTTCCAAATTCATCTACATACTCCACCCAGGGATCTTCGCTTTTATCTTTTTCTTTTGTAGGTTCATCTTCCTAATAAATAAAATCATCATAACTAATTTAAGTTAATGACAAGAGGTCAAAAAGATATATATTGCTATACTAATAAATCTACTCACCGATGGTTGTTCCCAAGCTTTCCGATCAAAATCTACTAAAACTTCTTCTGATAATATTTCATCTAAAAAATTTTTTTAAATAAGATCAATTAATAAACGATCAGATTCAAAGGAAAATATTTCATTGAATGTGCTTACCACTTATACCAGTTTTACTTAGATGATCATATAATTTGGCTTTTCTTTCCATGGCAGCCCTACTGGCCTCCAATGTTGATGTTTCTACCTTTTCCAATTCATCTCGATGTGATCTTTCAAGCACTCCTTTATTCTGACGTTCCCAAATACCTGGTTTCTAAAAAATTAAAGTAAAATCCTTTAGATCAAACAAGCCTGATAAAAAAAAAGTGTTATTTTCTTTACTAACCTTTGCTACTTTTCTTGAAGCAGCGGAAATAGGTTGATTTTTAGCAACAACTTTTTGTCTTTCGAACTCTTCTCTTTGTTTAAAAAGTTCGGCTTTTAAATCTAAAACCTACAAAGGAGAACGAAGAGTGTGAAAATTGGCTATATTTTACGTTTTTATTAATAAAAATGTTTCTACTTACTGATGTACTACTTATTTCGAAAACTTTACTAGGGTCTTGCATTTTAAAAATCTTTATTCGGTTAATTTTTTGGACACCTTTTTTTTTATTAATAATGTTTTGGACACGTGATAATAATGTGACAATGATCCTGTGTCTCATTATTATCTCTTCCCTTTTTTGTTTAAAATTATTCATTGAACATTACGAATTAATGAATTTCACGTGATTTATTTGAAAGTTTGAATTTAAATTTTGTGGCACGTGCGAGATATTAAAATGAGAAAATTTAAAGTTTATCCGTTACTCCGAGGATATTTTTTTTTTTTTAAAAAAAAACAAAATGGCAACTTTTGAAGGACTTTCCAAATTTCAAGATCTTTTACATACAGTGGATCGACCATTTGAAAACATAGCTATTGAGTTCAAGGGTTTAATTCCTGAACAAAAAAGATTTGAAGCCGCTTGTGCTTTGATGGCATTGTTAGAAGATGGCAAGTCTCAGGTTTGTCTAAAGAACAACGCCATTAGAAAGTTCTTGTTCAGTACTTGTTATATAAAATATTATATTTTATACTTTTGAAATCAATATTATGTTTTTGAATTCATAATTATTTTATGATAAATTTAGACATACGAAAGAGTTGTATCTCTTTATATTCTCTATAATTTATACAATGTTGTACCAATTCATCAAAATCCATTCCTTATACTGTTTTTAAATCTTTACAAAACTCTTTCATCAAATTTCGATCTTGTTGAAAAAGATTATGATCTATTGGTTGAATTTCGAGTAGAAGCATTGATCTTAGCAGATAAAGGTTCACAGGTATTTTCCATCATTTTCTACTAAAAAGTAAATATTTCATATATTTTTTTCTAACGATCCTAAATTAATCTAGTTGGCTGATAAAACTCCTGTGGATGTATATCAACAATTTGTGAACGGGGATAAATCATTAATAATCGACACGGAAGAAATAAATATAGCGGAATTTGAGTATTATATTAAACAAGAATTTGATATACGACCATCAAAAGAGGAACACCCTGAAAGGTAGGAAGAAACACTTCCTAATTTGGATAAAGTCAGATTTTTATTGTTACACAAAGTTCATTTTAATTTTTAATTCAGGCATGATGATTCAAAACGACCGTGGTCATGGACTCCTATTGACAGTAATGATGATTCTTATGCTCTTCCTTCTCTACAGCATGAGGTATTTTTTAATTGATATAATAATTTTCTTTTATTAACATTACTAATATATATATATTGTTTTTTCCGGTAGCCTAGTCAAGATCATAATCATGATCACGAACAAGATCATGAACCAGACATAGAACAGGATTATGATATCATAACAGAATTTACAGGTCAAGATGGAATCCGTGTTTTGATGGATAAAGCATTACAAGGAGCTTTGACAATACCTGAAGAAGAGGTTAGTTAATAATCAAAAATACAATTATATTATATTTTATTTTATTTATATCTAACTTCTTATTCCAAAATTTAGTTTATTTTGGAGCAATTTGAAAAGAATGACAAGTTAGTCTATCATTGTGATCTATTACCAGAAAAGTTCCCTGATCTGGTTGAAAATAATTCTAGAATTGCTGTAGAAGCATTATTACAACTTAAATCATCATCTCAAGTTGGCAAGTAAGTATCAATTGATTCAATATTTCAAATTCTTTATTTTACCATATATATATATATTTTTTTACCAAGATTATATTTTTTAAAAATAGATTTTTGAAAGCTCTTATAACAGTTAATGATCCAGAACGATCACAACAATCATCAGTGGATCCAGTAAATAGAATGAGATCTTCTATGGAAGTTATAAATGGGTTAACTTCTTTTCCACTTTCCCCCGAGTTTTTACACAAATATCTTACTAATTGTATACGAGCTTGTGAAGCGAGTCAAAACCGAGATACACAGGATCGCCAAGTTCGTTTGGTAAGTGTCATTTTTTTTTTTATAAAATATATAATAATTGTATTAACCAATTTCTTTTTTAGATATGCGTATTCTTTCAATCTTTAATTAGAAATAATACAGTAGATGTTAATAGATTCCTTGTAGAGATGCCTGCATTTTGCCTTCAATTCTCACGAATAAGAGAAGCTGTAGACTTATATAGACAATTTTTAATTTTGCAAAGAAATCCTGATGTTGATAATGTGGTATCAAATGCTGATATTGTTGAAGATGTTAATGGGGAACTTAACCTTGACGATCCGGGACAATGGGATTTATCTTAACATAATATATTTTATATATATATATATATCATACTTTGTACAAAGTGTAATAGAAAAGCATTGTAATATATAGAAAAATATATAATCAACCAACTTTTCTTTTTAATATTTATATATTCCATAACAAAAAATATTTATATTATATTATTTTACTATATAAAAAGGTCCTCAAATATTGAAGTTATTAAAGAGATTAAATTATTTGTCCTTTTGAATCTAAATTAAATAATGATTATCTTAATACGACTGCAGCATGTCTTAATCCAAGATAATCTTGAATAACACCGGGTGCCAATTGTTTAATTTCTTTATAAACTTCGGCAGAATGATATCGAAGACGCGTTTTTGGATCCGTATATTTAGCCTATATAATAAAAAGACAATATGTTTATATTCAGAAAATAACTGTAACCTATGATAAACTTAATAAAAAAAAAAATTTTTACCTCTAATCCTGTAATGTCGCAATATTTCTTTTGAGGTCTAATTGAAGGTGGTGCTTCTATATTCGAATCTAAAATAAAATTAATTATTAAGTACAAAAAGAAATTTAACATATCAGTTATAATATAAAAACACTTACAAGTTGGTACATCTAAAGGAGTATTTAAGTTTCTTTCAGCAGCTAAAATTTGTTTAAGGGTTTTGAATTTTTTTGGAGTTTTATAATGTGGGTTCTTAAAAGGTTTTCTTACAAGGTGTAAATTAGTTGGAGTAGGAAAACTGCTTCCAAAAGGTGAAAATGTTTCTGATGAAGAAGAAGTATTAGAAGGAGTAGGGGTAAAAGTAGTTGAAGCTTCGGAATCAATAGCTATATTGGACATATTTTGTGTTGTTAAGGGTGGTTGTTCAAAAGTAATGGAAGTATCAAGATCCATTTGTAAAGAATTATTATCATTGTCAGGTTCTTCTACTTCCATTTGTGTTGAAGTATTTGTACTATCAACATCTTCTCCTTCTTGTTCAAGTTCCATTTGTGAGGAAACATCCGTTATTTCTGCTTCATATGTAACTTCAGTTTCTATCTCATAAGTTAATGAAGCAGCTTCTGTTTGAGCAGCAGCTTCTGCAGCAGCTTTTTCCTATAAAAATTTAATAAAAACAGTTAGTTGGTAAATAATTTATAGCATAAGAGAAAGTCTTACTTTTGCGGCTCTTGTTACACTTCTAGTAGTCGTTTTCTTTGGAAGTCGTCGTGTCCTAAAAAAAAAAAAAAAAAAAAAAAAAAAAAAAAANAAAAAAAAAAAAAAAAAAGGAAAGAAAAGAAAATAATTTTATTTAAACCAAAGATTTTGAAAGAATAAAAGAAATTAAAAATTATTTATTTACATTTTCGCGAAATAATTAATGAAATAATAAAATGAGTCAGTGAATTTTGAATACAAGTAAATGTTTATTTTGATCGAAGATCGAGTTTGTGTTACCTAAAAATTTTTCTTATCGGTTTTTCCTCAAATTTCATAACTTACTCTTACCACAATGTTCAAAAAGTATGTTTTTCGATCTCGTTTTCTTTTTTTCACCTTTGGATGTTTGTTAACCATTTATTTTCGCCTTTGCATGCTTGTTAACCATTTTTTCGCCCTTGCTTGTTTTGCTAACCATTCTTTCACCCTTGATTGTTTCTTTCATTGTTAAAGATTTAACATCAAAGAAGATATAGCAACTAGATCTTTAGTGAAATCTTCAGTACAAAGAAATATTCGTTCTAAAATTTTAGAACAATATAATAGATTAGAACCAGTAATAGACGAAGTGTTACCAAAAAAATCATCTTTGATTTTAGTGAAATGGTAAGATATAAAAAATGTTTCGTTAAATTTTTATTTTTTTTAAGCTAAATAATTTTTTCTAATTTTGTTTTTTTCTTTATTATTATTTAGTCATGAACATATTAATTTATTAACAGTGAATAATGAAATATTATTTTTTCAACATTTTGATGGACCTTATTATCCAACTTTAAGGTTACTTCATAAATGTAATTAATTATTAATTAATTATTAAAAATATATTTTTTTTATAAAAAAATTAACTTTAATTTGTTCAAAATGATAATCAAATAATCCTTGCTTTATAATAATAGATCCTCATGCATTTCCAAGAGTACAAGTAGATAAAGGAGCGACAAAAAGAATTTTATCAGGAGCAAATATTATGTGTCCAGGATTAACAAGTAAAGGTGCAAGATTGGAAGAAGCTTTACCCGCGAACACTATTGTTGGAGTATTTGCTGAAGGTAAAGAACATGCTCTTGCTATTGGTTTAACTAAAATGTCAACTGATGATATGTAAGTAAAACTTTTTGTATATTACTTTTTTTGAAATTTTATATTGATTTTTTATATTGATTTTTTATATTGGTTTTTTTTTTATGATTTTTTGAATATGAAATATTATGGATTTTGAATGAATTTTAAACATGATTGGATTTTAAATATGATAAATTTTAAATATGATGGATTTTTTTGAAATATGTCTGGAATTTGGAATATGATGGATTTTAAATATAATGAATTTTAAATATGATGGATTTTTTTGAAATATGTCTGGAATTTGGAATATGACGGATTTGAAATATGATGGATTTTAAATATAATGAATTTTAAATATGGATTTTTTTGAAATATGTCTGGAATTTGGAATATAATGTATTTGAAATATGACTGGAATTTGGAATATGATGGATTTGGAATATGGATTTGGAATATGGTAAATTTGGAATGTGATTGATTTGAATTTTAATGGATTTGAAATATGATGGACTTGAAATATCTCGTATTTGAAATGTGTTGTATTTGAAATGTGATGAATTTGGGAATATGATGAATTTGGAATATGATGGATTTGAAATTTAATGGATTTTGAAATATCTTTTATTTGAAATATCTTCTATTTGAATCATCTTTGATTAATATGGTGGATTTGAATTTATAGTAAAAATATAAATAAGGATATTGGAGTTGAAAATATTCATTATTTAAATGATCCATTATGGAAAAGTAGCATTGAGTCTTAAAAAAAAATATGATTATAAGAAATTTTTTTTTTTTATATTAGCATTTAAAAATTATTGAAATTAACAATAAATAAAGAAATTTTTTTTTTATATTAGAATCTTTTTTAGATAATATCATTTTTAGATTTATATTAACCGGAAATAAAAAATAGTTCTTTAAAATACAAGTTTTTTATGTGAATTTATTTTTAGAGTTCTATAATTAAAAAAAAATGAGATTTTTTTTTAATCATATTTCTAAAAATTGCTGAAACTTTCCAATTCAAAATATTTGATTATCTAATATTAATTTGTTTAAAATGAAATATAAACATATTTATATTAAAAAAAAATAAATAAATTTATTCAAATAAAAGAATTATTCTTTGATTTTATATATATATATATATACATAATACATCATATATACATATAAGTATACATATATACATATATACATATAATATTTATTTATTTATTTATTTTAATTTATTTAGAATTTATTTAGAATTTCAAAAAAACAAGAAATTATAAACAATTGGTTTTTTTTTGATTAAGAATTTTCGAATTTTTTTTTTTAACAGGTAATAATTTTTAATTACCTTACATCATCAGAAAATAATACAGTTTTTTCTTTTTTAACTTAATGAGAAAAATAAGACTTAACCAAATCTTTGTATTATAATAAAAAAAACTTGAATTAAAACAAATTTTATTCTAAATTCAAAAATGGTCCATCCCAAAAATCATTGTATTACTTTTTTTTCCTAACTAAAGCTTCATAATAATAAACGTTTACATAGAGATGAGCAGTTTTTTTGTTTAAATGATGATGATGGATTGCGTGTCCATTTTAAGATCAAAATATCAGAAGATACGTGATTCGTGACGTTTTGGATGATCATGAAATATAAACAATGTCATATGACACACTGGTTTTTTTTTATATCGACTTTTACAAAAAAAAAAAAAAATATTCTCATTATTTTCAAACTCAATGTGGTTATCTCGTTATTTGAAATAATTTTTATTCAAATGATTTAACCTTTAATTTCATTGAGTTTGAATTTATTATTTGTAACGACAAGAAAAGTTTTTTTAAATTATCAAGAATATTTATTTTTATATATATAATTCGAAAAGATTTCAAAAAGGAAAAAAAAAAAAAATTTATTTAAATGAGTAATACAATAACAGTTACCAAAATGAAGCCAAAAAACCAGGTTGGAAAAAAAGTTAATAAAGTAATTAATACTTCTTTAATCTCTCACCAGTCACAACAACAAAATCAAAGTCAACAACAACAACAACAGTCTCATATTTTAAATAGTCAAAGTTCTTTATCCATATCTCGTAATAAACATTGGAAATATATTTCTTCTTACCATGGACCATGGCTTCAACTTCCTTTAGAACTTCTTGAATCTTTATATGTGATTAATAATGAAAATGTTTCAACTCCTCCATTAATTGATCCAATTATTTTTGGTAATTTGATATCAATTCGTCGTTTAGTAGATGAGGCAGCTGATTTATCCGTTCGTGCAGCTGCAGGAATTTCAACAACTGGAGGTGGTCCAACTAGAAGTTCAATGTCTCATACACGACAACATCGAATGCGTGAACTTGCTGTTAATAAGTTAGCTCTTGCTTATCGAATTGATGAAATAGCTACAGCTGTGGTAACAATGCAATCTGCTAGTGCAATTGATGAAGTTGCTAGTAAAGTATTAAAGAAGAATCCTACAAATTTGGATGCGTTATATGTCAATTTTTTTCATGAAAAAATTCCATCAAGGTAAATATAATATAATTTTATTTATTTATTTATTTATTTATTTATTTGTTTTATATCATTTTTTTTTTTTTTTTTGTTGTTTTTTAATTATGAGAAAATTGATTGGTGTGCGGCAACTGATTTGTTGTGGTGGTACTATAGATAATATTAATCTCGATACGGAGGATATCTCATTCCCGTTAATTAAAAATTAATAAAATAATAATAATAATAATAATTTTGGCTCCAACCTAATATTTTCACAACTTTTTATCCACCCATTATATAAGTAGAATGCTATCACAATCTACGTCCACTGACGTACTTGATCAAATCATTTCAACATCTCCAACAATACCAGAGTTTTATAGAACTCGTGGTGTTGTTAAATGTTTTAAAGAGGAATTTACTGGTGCTCTCCGTGATTTTAAAATGGCTTTGGCACATGTAAAACATCGAAAACGTGTAAATAATGTTTTACTTGGAAAAAAATCTACTTTACCTCTTCATAATCATCATGGAAATGATGATGACGAATGTACAGGAACCGAAAGTCAATTATATTTTTTACGTGCTGCTTGTTATTTACAATATGCTATTAGTCTAATAGATAAAGCAATTCAAAAAGTTGATGGAGTTGAAAGAAAAGAGGGTGAAGGTAGTGAATTAAGATTAGTGGCTGTTAAAAAAGGTACAGCTTCTAATCATGGATCTTATTCGAAATTAGAAGAATACAGAAAGGAACTTTTGCCAATAATGAATCAAGTACAGAATTTGGCAAAACGTTCGGTGAGAAATTATACTCATTTTCTTAGTTTTTATCCTAACTCATTACCACCTTTTTCACCTATGAATGATGAAACTGCTTCAAAAGGTAGTACACCTGTAACCTCAAGGGATTCTTCCCCTGCTAGGTCGTTTAAAGAAAAAGAAGATAATGGTTGTTGTTCTTCTTCTTCTTCAAATGGTCATAATGATCACCAGCCTAATACAAAGTTTTTTGAAAGAACAAGAAAATTTACTGAAAAAGTTACTGGGGTATCATCTGATAACGGAAATAGTTCCTCTACAGCTATTTCAACTTTTCCTAAAGACCATCATCATCACCATCACCATCATCATCATCATCATCATCACCACCACCATCCTCATAATTTTCATGGATTTCAACAAACTCACACTTTTGCTACTTATCATCCGTTACTTATTGAAGCTTGGTATGCTATAGCGATCAATTATGTACTTATTGGTGATATTCATACTGGGGCTATGTGGCATTCACGTACTTCTGAAATGCATGAATGTATTGATGGATATCCAGTTTTTCTTCCAGCCAGGTCAATGGCACAAGCGGACTATATGGAAGTTTTGGAAAGAATTAAGAAATCTATTAGTTTATCACAACATGAAAAATTAAGAGAATTAATAGAAGTAGTTAAACAAAAAGAAAAAGAAAGAGAAGAAAAAGAACGTGAATGGGTTAAACATCATCATCATCATCATAGGATGCTTTTAGCTGCAGCAGAAGAAGAAAAGGAAGTGAATGAAGGAAAAAAATTTGTAAAAATTGGAAAAAGATCAAAAAATTTGAAACAAGGAAATAATAATAATAATATTACACCTGTTATAGGTATTGATGGTCAAAGACATCATCCTTGTTGTCCTCTTGCACCCGGAAATCATTCATCTTCAAAAGAACATAATAATCATCATGTTCATCACCATTCTCATAATTCTGGTTCTTCTATTTCAGCTTCGAATAGTTCTTATTCAAATAATAGTAATGGTAGTTCAGGTCCAAGGCAATACCCTTTACATACTCAACGTGCTGATTCTGTTATGATGTGGCTAAAAGCTATAATTTTAAGACAAAAAGAAAATGATGGCAAAGCATCTGTTGCTGCTAATACTAATGGTGAAGTTAAGCCTATGATGAATGGTACGAGCACGAAAATTATTGATAATATTTGAAGTTTAAAATGATATTGCGAAAATGCGAAAATTATTTAAGAAAAGTTCTTTTATCTTGTTTAATAACTAGTTTCCATTAAAAAATATATATATATATACATATTTATTTGATCCAGAATAATAATAAAATGAAAACTATGAAAGTTAAATTATTAAGATTTAATTGATATCATTGTATTATTGCTTTTTTTTTTAGTTATATTTTATATAATTGTTTTTTTGCCATATACAGTATATATAATTGATTTCGTTTATATGCAATTCTGTATATTATTATTTTTTCATTTATTAATTAATAAATTAATAATAAAAAAAAATTCAAAATTATTATTTATTTTTTTAATTAAAAAATTTTTTCTATTTTGTTTTGAAATTAAAAAAAAAGAGAGAGAAATTAACTAATTTAAAATTATATATACTATAAGTTTAAACTTGATAACTTGTTCACTTATTACATACATAATGATTTTTGTTATATAATGTATATAATTGATTTTTTCTTCTCCTGTCTCCTATTTTTAATTATTATCCGCCTCTCTTTTCCAAATTATATCATTGTCTCGTATTTTAACGATTATCCAGCTTCATTCCTAAATATATCATTGTCTCCTATTTTTAACGATTATCCAGTTTCTTTTCCAAATTATATCATTGTCTCCTATTTTAACGATTATCCGGCTTCATTTCCCAAATTATATCATTGTCTCCTATTTTTTTAACGATTATCCAGCATCTTTTCCAAATTGTATCATTTATATCATTTATAAAAAGTATTGTCCAACACCAGCTCTAGCAGGAATAGATCTTTCTTGGTCAGGTACAGCATTAAAAATTTTAAAACTACTCTCATCAATTTGTAAATTTTCATTAATTTGCATAATTGACGCTACATTGCCACATCTATAACAATAATTTGGTGCAGACCATACCGTCACTAAATTATCATCAGGAAACATATATTTATATCCTTCTTGCACTAATTGATGTGCTCTAGCTATTAAACTTAGAGCATTGACATGATTAAACTAATTGGTTTTTTTTATAAAAGAATAAATTATTAATAAATTTTAAACAATATTATTTCAAAATAATATATATAGTACATGTCACTACCTCATTCGTTACTTTAGCTCCAAATAACCAGCCAGCACCTCTAGGACTTACAGCCCATGTTTCAATATCTTCGGGATCAGACCACATCAAATCTAAAATAAAAATTTTGTTTAAAAATTTTTTTTTTAAATTCTTGCTATATATCGTTGTTTATAATTACATTCATACCACAAAAAGCACCCTCATGAGGAATTTCTTGAGCTCTAGGTATCGTTCTTATTTGGTCTAGTGTCCTAACTTCGGGTGATAATCCACCATGAACACATAAAACACGACCATCTACAATCTAAAATTTTTATTATTATTTTAAATAAAATAAGATATTATTTAATATAGCAATAACAAAATAAAAAAAAAAGTAATAAATAATATAACATAATTTATAAAATAAACTTACAGCTGCTAATGTTAAATAATCAAACACTTGACAACAATATTTCCAAACGTTTGGATTTCCGTATTTTGATTGACACTCGTCTTTTGAGTTTTTTTTTGGAGAAAAGGTTATTTTGATATAAATTCAAAATAACAATTAATATGTATTATTCTTTGTAAAATGACTTACCATAAAATCCATACACTTGTGTGATTTGTCTACTTTCATGATTACCTCTCAAAAGTGTAATTTTGTCTGGATATCTATGCGTATATAAAAAAATTATTTAGAACTAACAACTATTCAATAAATTGTTCGATTAAAATATTATTACACAAAACCTTGCTTTCAATACCATCAATAAAGTAAATGTTTCTAAACTATAGTAACCTCTGTCAACAAAGTCACCCTAAAATTTTTTTTTTTAAAAAAAAAAAAAATTATTATCCAAAAATTTGCATAAAGAAGGTTCAATTACTATATTTTGGTAATTACCATAAATATATAATGAGTATCGGGAATTTCTCCTCCAACATGGAACAATTCTAATAAATCGTAAAACTGTCCATGAATATCTCCGCATACCGTTACAGGTGTATGTACGGGTTGTATATTTGATTCCTCCATTAACAATTCTTTAACCTATTAATAAGAAAGTCGTTAAGTCTTAAGAAAAGAGAGTAGAAAGTAGGAAATTACTAAGCTTACCATTTCACACAGTTTTTTCATGTCAGATTCGGGCAAATACTGGCATTTCCGTATAGTAGCTAACCATTCATCTGGTCCGGCCATTTTTATTACAACAATATAAAATAAAGATATTTTCGGTAGAATTACTATTTTTTTTTTTTTTTAAAAAAAAAAAAAAGAAAATCGAATATGATCAAACCCCAAAAAGTTTGTTTACTTTTTTAATTAACATTTTAGGGGTGATAATTTAAATCATGATTGGATAATTATGATGATGACAAATGGTAAGATCTACATTAACACGTAAGAATTGTAACACAAGATCTAGTTTTTCGCTCCATTGTACGTAATTAGTTATATTTTCGGCGAAGTTTATATCGAAGAATAGTTAATTCTTCAGCCTGAATGTAAAACTGTACTTTTAGTCATTGGCTAACTTGAATTGAATATAAATATTCACTTTATTTATGATTATATTTAATTAAAACACGTTAACAAAATAAGCTTCCTTATAAAGTTCTTTCCTTCAAATTAAATTCCAAAAAATTGATCCATATTACCAATAGTTGTTTCAATTGGAGCATAATTTTTTGCATTACCGGCAGACAACTTACCAACTTCAAATACATTCCAGTTACCATCATAACCATTTTTTGCAGCAACACACATTATAACAGCTTGTGAAGAAGCAGCAGATTGTATAGTATAAGAACATAATTGTATATCAGGTTTTGAAGGATCAAACATTTTAAATGATGGATTTGGAAAATGGCCTATATTTGGTGCATTCCATGAACTTAAAATAAAATATAATTTTGTTACAGTTTGTGGTAATGATGCTAAATTTGCCGTTATACGATGATGTCCTAAGGATCGAGAATAAGAATTAAATTTTTTTTTTTTAAAAAAAAAAATAAAATAAAATAAAATATAGATAAAATAAAATATACGCACCTCTTCTGTTGCTGTGATCCATAACATCACCGGAATGTGCCATATTAGGAATATCATGGAAACTTGTTGATTGATAATCGAAGCGACGCCAAAGTTGACCAGCATTATTTCCTGTACCCGTATAAAGCATACAAGTACCATCTAGATAATCACATCCAGTTGCAGGATAACCCCAAAATAAATCGAAAGTTAAAGCATTAATGGATAATTCTTTCGATATAGAGTATAATAATACAATAAGTTGTATGTGACTTTCTGCTACTATGTTGTATTCTGATAATTGAATTTGAACTCTTCCTTGATTTGTGTAAGTCTAGAATATAATAAGGTGGAATTCTTAGAAAATTTTATTTTTTTAAAATGTTTAAAAGAACTTCCAAACTTACTTGTAGCTCAACGCCTTTATGAATTAATTTTTGTTTATTAGTTTCAACTTTAGTTTGAGCTTTAATAGCTTCTTTTAGAGCTCCAACGCTTCTAATATGTTCTAGCCTAAATTTCAATTTTGTACCATTCAATAATACTACATAAAAGTCTCCTGTAGTAGCATTACCATGTCCATCAACTTCACCATTTCGTGCTGGATTTATTTGTGAATGTGATTGTGAAATGTTATCTACGTCAATTCTAAATGATGCTTTTTCCCATGCTACATTTAAATCCTTAATTTCCTTTGCCTCAAGATTCATTTTACATTCTGGACATTGTTTTACTACAGTTTGTTTGTTTCCTGTCTTAGCATTTATATGGTTTATTACACACTTTTGATCCAAAAATGAAGAAAAAGATTAGACCTTAGTGTGAATTATGCTTAAGAAGGTATAACAAATCAAACTTACCTTTAAACAAAAACTAGAAATATGGTTGCACCTTTGACTAATGGTATCAGTTGGAAATTCTCGTGATAATTTATCAACTTTACAATTTGAACACTTCATGTTTTTTTGAAAAAGATAATAATAAAAATATTGTTTAGTTTTTTTGAAAATTAGAAGCCGCGTTCAAAGGAGTTCATTTACGAAAAAAAACTCAGGCTGGGAATCTTTTATAGCCTACTAAATCAGGTTATTTAACAGGGCAATAAATGGTCAATGTTTATACAATTTCGGTATTTTGTGTCATAAAATATGCTTTTCAAAAAAAAAAGGATTTTAACCTTATAAATAGGGTTCATACGGATGTTGAAGTAAAATCTATCGTGACACGATACCTTATTTTTATTGTTACGAATATCATCAGTATATCAGTATATCAATAAGAATTTCCGTTTATTATTTTACTTATTACACATTACAAAAATCGAACTGCTATAATATGAAGTGTTCTCAGTGCAAAGGTGATAAACTCTCTAAGGAGTTTCCACCAACGACGGTTACAGAACGTTGTAATCATATTCCTTCTTATTGCCTAAGAGTAAGTCTCAAGATTTATATTTAATTTTATTTCCTAAAACACAATTCTTTCTTTCCTACTAATTACTTTCAATCATTTCTACAACAATAATAAATAGTGTTTGGTAAAAAATTTAGATTTAACAAATACAAATAATCAAAAATCTCGTAAATGTCCCGAATGTCCGGAGAAAATAACTGCAGAGGAATTAAAGTTATTAACATTAGCATGGGATAAGGCGCCATTTAAAATTGATGTAGATAGCATTGGAAAAGTAAAACTAACACAAAATACTAATGCAGCGGATGGAAATATTAAGGGAGAAATTTATGTTGTATTATTAAATGGGCAAAAGTGTACTTTTCAATACAATCAAATTAAAAATATTCCTGTATTAAGACAAGAAATTAGAAAAAAATTAAATGTTGATGAAGGTAAACAAAAATTAATTTTTAATGGTGCTGAATTGCAGGTAATTTATAAAATTATTTATTTGATGTGAGATGCAAATTGTTTTCAATTAATTTAAATTCATTTCATTATAAATTTCAGGATCGAAAAGCTGGAGGTGTGCCTAATACATTACAGGATCTTAATATTGGACCAGGAAGTCATATTCAATTGATTGTTGTACTTTATAATATTACACGTGCAGAATCCATTAAGAATTTAACCTTTGATTTATTTTGGGGTTATCCCGCAAATGGAACTCAAGATTATTTGGATGGAACTTGTTTACTTTACGTGGGGTAAATATTAGAATTTTTTTTTAAAAAAAACAAAATGAACTCTCCCTTGAATTAATTTTGTTTTATTATTTTAGTGAAGTATTTTTTAGAAAATATGATTATGCATCAGTATTTTATCCATCATTTCCACATATGAAACATTCAGGCGATTTGATGGATAATGCAAATAAAAGAGGTCACCAACGTATCACGGCGAAATTAGATCAATTACCAGCTGAAGTAACCCAATTATATTTCGTTTTGAGTTCGTTTAAATCTCCTACTATCGGTCATTTTAAAACTCCTAGTTTTAAGTTGATAGATGAAACTCAACCTGATAAACCTTTATGTTCTTATCAATTAGAACAAGCTGCTGAATCTCAAGCTGTAATTATGTGTTGTGTATCAAGAGTTGGACAAGGAATGTGGCAGGTCATTCAGATTGGTAAATTAAGTAGGGGTAATGCCGAAGATTATGACCCAATTGAATATAGTATTGGTCAATGTGCTTTATTTGGGTAGATTACATAAGTTATGTGAAGATTGCTTATCTAATAGAAATATTTATAGCGAATTTTATGAATTTAACTGCTATTGTGTATGATTTTTCTTATAGTGATGTATCTTTCACTAAAGAATAAACTTGTTTATTAAATAAAAGAATTTTTTTGCATTATATTTTATATTTAGTTCATTTGTTTCGTCTCATTGAGATGCCATTTGTTTTATATTGGTATCACCTGATCTGCTTCTTCATAATATAAATTTGAGAGAATTTTATTTGTAGTAGCAGATATTAATAATTTATATACGAAATAAAAAATGTGCTGTACATTGCCAATTTTTTGTAAATATAGCATTAAGTTTTCATCAATTTGGCATCTAGTATTGATTCAAATTCCTTTATTATTATCAGATTTCACTATGAAATCAATTTTGTTATATAATTCTTTACTTATAATCCAATTGAATTTTTTTTTTAATAAATCGTGAAATTTTTCATTCATATTCTTATTTTTATTTGAATTTAATATAATTCATATAACTTCTCTTAAATACTGCTATAAGTATTCTAAAATTTATTATACATAAAAACTTTATATAAAATTCCACATTTTTGAAATACATTAAAAATAATTTTAGAATTATTAAAATGTATTTATATTTTATCTATATTTAAGAATAAATCAAATATTTTTTTTAATTAAATTCATTTCAATTGTATAAATATATATATTAGTAATCTATAAATTAGAATTTTATTAGTATATATAAATTGTATTTTAATTAGTAAGAAGAGTTTAAGGATAATTTTTAATTTTTTATAATTGTATTGTGAAGTTTTAATTATATTAATATAGAAACATTATATTATAAATATAGAAACATTATATTCCTTATATTGTACAATATGTACAATATCTCAGTTCCGAATTAAAGTACCTCCTGTCACGGCTACCAGGATTGTTAAAAATTTAGCCTACATTATGCTACAAATGTTAATACAGTAAATTATCAACCCCTGAAAAATTCCACCTAATAATTTAGTAATTTGAACCCTTGAAAATTTTGCTGCGCAACGTTTACAAACATTCTATTTCCTAACACTTTAAATAAAATAGATACTGATTATTTGAATTAAAATAATTTAAGGTTTATTATATCCGACAAAAAAAAATTATTTCTTTTTCAAGACCACGTCCAAGGAATTTAAATAACGCTCGCTGGCGAGACGACTTCCACACTACCATCATCGTCATCATTGTTCAACTTAGTTACTCCCAAAAAGGTTTTAAAAAGACTTTAGGAATAAACAAAATTTTAATATTTAGGACAAGTAAAAACCTATTATTTACACGCCTCTACTCAACAAAAAAATACATTTAACCTTGTTCATTAAAAAACGAAAAATTTGATCACGAAACTTCAAATTAAATATGAATAAAAGCGGACTTAAACGTACACCAAGTTTAGGAACCATTCCTAGTTTCGGCAGTCTTTCCATTTCTTCAATAGAATCACCAAAACCAACGAGTTCAAATGCTCTCAATCGACCTGCACAAGCATCACAATCATTGTATCCGTTATGTTTAGATTTATTAGAACGACTTTATTGTGTGGAAGGGTTTGAAAAATATTTGATTCAAGGACAGAACAATATGCCAAATAATTCTTCAATAGTGGGTACTCCCACTACAGAAAATGGTCCAAATAATATAATTCGTAATGATCCTGTTACTCTCTTATGGCAAACCTTTCGTTTAGGACATCCACTCTGCGTGCTTTTCAATGCTTTAAAACCTCAAAAAGAAGCGATAATAGAGGAAACAAAACCTGGTACTAGTGAAATCAAAACCAGTCAAAAGAATGTATTTCACTTTTTGATGGGCTGTCGAGAAGAATTGAAGTTAGAACCAGGGCAAATGTTTACAATTTCACAGTTGTATAAGGATGATACGAATGGCTTCGTCAAAGTATGTTATTAATTTAATTTATTATCTGAGGGGAATAGTTTTTACTCTTATGGTTATAATTTAATTTTAAAAATTATTATAGCTTAATTGTTCTCTAAATTCTTTTTGACTATAAATTTTTGTAGGTAATTGACACGGTCAAACTTGTTACTGACAAAATTGAAGAAAAAGGTTTTCTCGAATTGTCTCGCAGACAACTTTTACGAAACTCAGATCCCATGAAACCCACTGATAATCGTGCTAAGGTTGTGCATGAATTATTGGAAACCGAAAGAAAATATGTGCAAGATATGGAAGTTTTACAGGTAAAATAATTTAGCATATAAAAACAATTTATTCTTATTTATGTTAAAAAAAAATTTTTTTTTCTAGCATTTTGCACGTGAACTTCAAATTCAAGAAATTGTTAGCGCGGATACTATTCATTTGCTTTTCGCAAACCTTAACCAACTTGTAGATTTTCAACGTCGTTTCCTTATCGGTGTAGAAGCCATTGCCAGTCAACCACCAGCAGAACAAAGATTTGGAAATCTTTTTGTGCAAATGGTTGTCCATTAGCTATAAGAATTAAAGTTATTTATTTTTTTTTTTATTTTTCAATTTTAATACTAAATAGTAAAATTTTGTTATAATAATAATCATATTTAGGAGGAAAACTTTGCCGTATACGAACCATTCTGTGCAAATTATCAGTCTGCGTCAGAATTAGTCATCCAAGAAACACCCAATTTGCAGGTATAAATTATATTTCGGTTTCATTTTTTCTTTTTTTAAAAAAAAAAAATTTAAATATTTAATTAATGATTTTTTTTATCAATTTAGAAATTGGCTAACATAGTTGAACCAACGTACGTATTACCATCATTATTAATTAAGCCCATTCAGCGCATTTGTAAATATCCATTATTATTACAGGTAAATGACCATATAAGTATATTAAAAATAATTTTGCTATATAAAGTTTATTTATAAATTTGTACATGATCAATTCTAGGAATTATTAAAATATTCTGATAAGGATGAAACACCTTATTATGATGAAATTGAACGAGGTCTTAAAGCTATTAAACGTGTGGCTGATCGAGTTAATGAAACACGACGAAAACAAGAAAATGAAGCTGTTGTAAAAGATCTAGAACGTAGAGTTGAAGACTGGAAGGGGCATAAAATTTCTCAATTTGGCAACTTATTACTCGAAGATGTGTTTATTATGTCAAAGGAAGATTCTGAGCGAGAATATCATGTGTATTTATTTGAAAAAATCCTGCTTTGTTGTAAAGAGACTAATACTAAAAAACCTCAAAGCAAACCTAGTCCACTGATTAAGGGTTCTAACAGAAAGCAAAAAAGAGCCAGTTTACAACTTAAAGGAAGAATTTTTATACATAATATAACGGCTGTTGTAAACAATAGTCGGGCTGGATGTAAGTCGCATTAATTTGTTTAAATATGAAAATTTTTATGGTATAAAATTATTTACATTTTTTTTTTTTTCATCAGTATGGTCTTTGAAAGTATTCTGGAGAGGAGATACAGAAATGGAATCTTTCTCACTTAAGTGTCGTAATGAAGAACAACTTAATCAATGGCAATCCACATTAGAAAAACTGCTCGCGGATTTCAAAAACCGACATAAAGATGAGTCGGTGAAACCTGTTACTAAACGTACTCAGGTTTCTAATACTCAATTGGCATCTTTACAGAATCTTGACGTATATTCTCGTCGCGACGATGATGCTGCTTCGTTTATTGATGAGGATGAGGATGAGGATGATTATGAAGAAGAAGAATTGGAAGACGATTGGGAAGATAATAAAGTCAAAAGTCGATCACTGCCTTATGGACAATATCCTAAAACTGGCTATAATGGAAGAAATAGACCACGAACTGAAGATGCTCCACCACCTTATAACTGGTCTCCTCCATTACCACCAAGCGTCCCTAGTGTCCCACCTCAACATCGATCTCTTACGAATATATCATCCTTATCGCGTAATGGAACTCCTACTAGTCCATCCAATTCCATACATCAAGGAGAAAATGCAAGCTATTTTCCCAATTCTCCTCCGCCGTCTTATCCAGTTTCTCCAGCTCAATCTGTCCGTAGTAGTGCTAGTCATTCCAACTTAAAGGGTACATGGCAAAGACAAAGTATCGAGCCTCTTACAGATACAATTACCAGATTTATGATGGGAAATGATGATGATTACGTAGAAGTTCAACCACCGCAACGTGCGACTACTGGTCAAACCTATCAAATTAATAATGGATCTTCACCAGCATTACAACAAACATCAGCATCGAATTATAATCGTTTACGGTCGGCAAGTAGTCCAAATATTCAATCAATTAAAGAACAATGGGAAGAGTTGGAATCTCTTCCTACTAATGACAATGTCCAAAGAAATAATGGAATTCAATCATCAGAAACACATCAACGACATAGTGGATCAAGTACTTCATCACAAACATCAAATACAGGTAATGGTTTGTCATCACCGCCTAACGGTTTAGCAAATGGTCATCAATATTCAAGGTCCAACTTTTCAACTACAATGAAAATCAAAGTAAATTATGCTGAAGATATTTTTGTAATTGTTGTTCCTCAAAACATTGAATATAAAGAATTATGTGATCGTGTTGAACGAAAGATACGTTTATGTACTACTCAACGCGACGAAAGTATTCCTCTACGTATTAAGTATCAAGATGAAGATGGTGATCATATCACAATCAATTCCGATGAAGATGTTTTAATGGCTTTTGAAGGCAGGCTAGCTGCTGGAGGAAATTTTGTTAATCTTTATGTTAGCTAAAAAATATATATATATATATATATATTTATTTATTTATGGGGAATATGTTATTTAGGATATTATAAAATTGTTTATAAGCTGTAAGAAATGAAAAGAAAGTTAACCCAAAGACTTTAAGAAAACTCAGAGATGGTGGTTACCTAATAGGGAATAATATATGTTTGGACTAATAGAATTAAGATAATGATCGCCTGAAATGAGCTTCAAGAGTTCCTAAATTTTTTATTATTTCCTTTTTTGGTGTTTATTTATAGTCTATTCTTATAACAATATTATTCAACAAAAGAAAAAAAAATGACATCCTCTTTTCCTCCTTATATTCAAAATCTTAATTTTAATTCATTTATTTCACATTACTTTCCTTTCCTTTTTTTTTAAAAAAAAAACTATTTATTTCAATATGTTGAAATATAAAAAATTTGGGAAATTCATCATTTAGGCATTTTAAGAAATCATTTATCAATTATATATACACATAACATAATATATATACATATTTTTATTGTTCATAACCAAAAAAAATTTTTTTTGTAATAAATTAAATAAATTAAAAAATATATTTTATTATTTTTATTTGAGAAATTCGCTCAATTGCATAGTTTTATTATACAGTAAAAAAAAGCACAGTACATATTTTCTTTATTTGTAATTTTTATATATTTTATTTTATTTTATTTTTCTTTTTAAAAGACCAAAAAAAAGAGATAAATGTACTTATATTTATAAATTTTTTTTTAGATAGTGAAATATATTAATATAAACAATAAACAAATTATATATTTTATTCCTAAAAAATTGATATATTTGCAGTTACATAATTTTAATACAAAAAGCTATATAAAATAAAATAATTACATGAATAAAATATTGACAATACATTCAACCAACTAAAACAATAGAATGATATATTAAAGCCTAGCCTTATTTTGAATACTTGTAATCTCATCATATAATAAAGTAGTAATAAAATCTGAATAATCTTTTCCGGTAATTTGACTAGCTAAATATCTTTTAGCTAATGGATATTTACTTGCACCAAAACGTTGTGGACCTAATTGTTTCTCTAATTTTGCAACTTCTTCATTAAGTAATTTAAGTAAATATTCTCCTGTAACATTTTTACCATCAGAAGTACGAGAACCATGATGAGCCCATTGCCATAATTGTGAACGTGAAATTTCTGCTGTTGCCGCATCTTCCATAAGATTATGGATTGGTACACAACCAAGTCCACGTAACCATGATTCAATATAAGTTAATCCAACTGAAATATTACTACGAATTCCATTTTCGGTAATACTTCCTGGTACATTTGTATTCAATAAATCCAAAGCACTAATATTAACATCTTCACGACGTACAAAAATTTGATTTGGAGTTTTTAAATTTTCATTAAAAACTTCCAAAGCAATCGTTACAAGATCTGGATGTGCAACCCAAGTACCATCATGTCCAGCTTTTACTTCACGTAATTTATCAGCTCGAACTTTATCTAATGCAACCTGATTTGCCTTTGGATCATTCTTAATTGGAATTTGGGCAGCCATTCCTCCCATAGCATGTACACCACGTCTATGACATGTTTTAATTAATAATCGAACATATGCATCCATAAATGGAACAGTCATGGTTACATCGCTACGATCTGGAAGTGTAAAGTTAGGGTTGCTACGGAATTTTTTGATTAAAGAAAAGATATAATCCCACCGTCCACAATTAAGACCAGATGAATGTTCACGAAGTTCATAAATAATTTCATCCATCTCAAATGCGGCAAGGATGGTTTCTATCAAAACGGTAGCACGAATAGTACCACGAGGAAGGCCAATAAGATCTTGGGCAACGCAAAATATGTCATTCCAAAGTCTTCAAATATAAAAAAAAAAAGGAATTAAATAATTTGTACATATATTTATGAACATCATGATCTTTGGTCTTATTTACCTCGCTTCTAAGTGAGATTCCATTTTTGGCAAATAGAAATAAGGTCCGATACCCACTTCAATAGATTTTTTGGCATTGTGAAAGAAATACAAAGCAAAATCAAAAATTGATGCGGAAGCAGGTTCACCATCAATTAATATATGCTTTTCCTCCAAATGCCATCCACGGGGACTATCAATTTTTTTTTTTAAAAAAAAAAAATTTATTATTAAAATTTAAATATTACACTTTACATTTGTAGATAATTCGAAAATAATTTTACCGAACAATCAATGTAGCAATTTTACCATCAGCACGTAACGAATAATTTTTATTGTTTCCGGGGTTAGTATAAGTAATTGTTCTTCGGATGGCATCACGCAAGTTTAATTGTCCATCAATATTATTCTCCCATGTGGGAGCATTGGAATCTATAAATGATTGGCAAAATCAAATTAACAGATCATTTGTATGAGATATTATTTTTAATTGGTTAATAATCAATAAAAAACTATCTTGTAAAAGATTTACCCTCAAAATCGGCCATATAAGTGTAAGCGTTACTATTTAAAGCATTAATAACCATCTTTCTATCAACTGGTCCAGTAATTTCAACGCGTCTATCGACTAGACCAGGAGCAGGATAAGCACCACGCCAGGTATCATCCTCTCTAATATGAGCAGTTTGTGGTAAAAAATCAGGAAGAACACCACGGTCTAATTCTTGCTGACGAAGAATTCGACGTTGAAGTAATGACTTCCTAGTAGAATTAAAAGCTCTATGAAGTTTTGCAAGGAACTCCAAAGCTTCTGCATTAATTATTTCAGCTTGAGCTTCACTCACAGGTGCGAGAACAGTAACACCGGGAACAGACTTATAAGACATATCTTTAGAATAAGAAAATTTAAAATTAAAACAAAAAAAAACGTTGTGAAAACAATCGATTTGAAAAAAAATTTAAGATTATGCTTTCGGAAAATTTCGGACACGTAAATAATCTTGTCATACTCATAACGTTAATAACGAACGTAAAATAAATGCAGTTAACACGAATTAAGTAACAGTGAGAAAACTCTAATATTAACGCTTAACTTATTTAGAAGCGCTATATTGTATTATTTATAATATTACAAATAATTATTGAGTAACGTGATCAAAACTGTGGCTCAAAACAATTAAAAACAATTATAATTATAAAAATTTTTTTTTTTGAATAATTAAAAAAAAAAAAAAATTTCGCGCCAAAGTATGAGATTTATTTTATTATTATTAACTATTAAATCTAATCTAACTTTATATTTCTAAATATAAGATAATCACAATCATGGATGACTCATCTTCCCTCTTATTTTTTCTTTTCACTATCATGAATTTTATCTAATTTATTTTTACTATTATCTAATTTTTTAATGTAAGATTCTAATCCAATACCCGAAAATACCAATGCAACGGCAAACCATTGTCCAATGCTCAAATGATGATCGAACCAGAATATTGATATTAACATGGTAAACAATTTTCTAGTTACAGTTATAGTGACTACAACCAATGAACCAAAATTTTGTAAGGTGAAAAAAATAAAACATTGTCCTACTGCTCCACAAAGAGAAAACAATAAAATATCTTTAATTACTTCGGGATATTTACCGCAGAATTCAATTGCATTATTCAGTTCAGGATAGTTAAGTAATAAATAAGAGAATGTAAATGCTCCACTAAATAAATTCATAAAAAACATCATTTGTAATCCCGTTATTTTGAATTTATGAAAAATTTGATCTTGAGTAGAATTTGTTATACCATCAATTAACAAATTCGTTGATAATAACATTATACCGTATAATGAATTTGATGCCATTGTCTTCTTTTTTTCACTTATAGGTTGTAATAACATGAAAGCGCTTACTCCAACCGTAACTAAAAAGACCACAATATATTTATAAAATGGAAATTTCTTTCTATATAATATTACATTCATCATCATAACTGGTACCAATTTACATGATTTACCTAGAATAATTGTTGGATAATCTATGTGTTTTAAACTTTCATATCCAAAAGGTGGTCCAATCGTACCAACAAATGCAACTTGAATCAAACTCTTAATTAATGATAAATTAATATTTTCTATTATGGTTTTTCCAGTAATTGTTAAACAAGAAAATGCTACTGTTGATGCTAATAATGATTGTATCATATTCAAAAATATGAAATATCGAAATCTACCATCTTTTTTTTCCCCGTATGGTGTTGTTGATATTCTTTCTTGTAATACTCCCCATGTTAAGAAACACGCATATATTCCTATAACACTAATTCCGATCTTAAATAATGTCATTGTGATTCGTTTTTTTTTTTTCAAAAAAATAAAACAAATAAATAAATAAATAACTAAAATTTTATTTAAATATTTTCAAATTTCAAATTTGAGAGATGAAAGAAATAACAACACATACTAAATTTCGAAACTGTTATGAGCGGAAATAAAAAACCAAAAATTTGTTTACAATCATTTTAACTATTTTTTCGTGTCGCATTTTTATTGGATGATGAAAAAAAATAAACTGAGCCGCCGATAATCTGGAAAAACAAATTTACCGCATCAAATCAAATTCAAAGAACTCGGCTGTCTTTATACCCATTTACATAATTATTACTAAATTGTTATTCATTTTGAAATGAAAAATTCAGAAGTACATACAGTAATTACGATATGCTTTGCTGATTATCCTGGGTTTAACAAATTAAATATTCGTTAGGATTGAATTAACCTAAAAAGGGTTATTATACTCGATATAACTCCTCCGGTTTGTGTATTAATCGAATTTAATACATAGTACCTACTATAATATTTACAATCAAAGAAATCTAACCACTAAATTCTCTTAATTTTGTTACCTAATCTACCAATTATGATAATTTAGTGTTTTTTTCTTTGGGAGTCTCTTTTAACTAGATATCCTAATTTTTTATTAAAAATAAATCTGAAAATTTAAATTCGATTAATCAGAGATTCACATTTATTTAGGCAATAAAGAATTATTTAATATACATTTCCAAGAACAATTTAATCTAACTTGTGAACTACATAAATTTAAACTAAATAATCTACACAAACCATAAATATTATAAATACTACTTTTTAATACCTAAATCACTCATGATAATTTTAAGAGCTTTAACAAATTTAAATACTTCGGAAAAATTATTATACATAGGAGTTGGTGCAACTCTAATAGTATCATCACGTTCATCAATGACTATCCCATAACTCATTAGTTCTCTAGAAACTTTATCTCGTACATTCTTATCAAGAAATTTTAATGAAAGTTGACACCCTCTCTGATGCGGATCACGGGGCGAAATTATTTTAAATCCTAATCCATTTACCTGCTTATCCAATAGATATTCTAAGTATCCAGTTAATAAAATGGATTTTGCACGTAAATGTACCATACTTGTTTTAGAAAATAGTTCTAAACTTGCAATTAACGATACCATATTCAATACTGACGGATTAGATACTTGAAAACCTCCTGCTCCAGGAATTGGTTTAAATTCTTCGTAAAAAAAAGAAAAGGACTTCAAATTAATACAAAGTATCAAAATAAATAAATTGAGCCAAATTGTTCCTCCATTACTTACGTTGATCCACTTGAAATCTTGTCCCTCTGTCCGATCCCCACCATCCTGCAAATCTGTAATGAAGTACATACACTGTTCAGATACAAGTTTCAATGTGTGTAATTATAAATAATTTTGTATATAGTTGATATGTACCTTGGACGATTGAAATCATTAGCATGTCTTTCGTGGAGAAATATACCAGCAATACCGCCAGGCCCAGAATTCAAATACTTGTAAGAACACCACGCTGCAAAATCAACTCCCCATTTATGAAGTTTAAGGACAACATTACCAACGGCATGAGATAAATCGAGTCCTACAATGCATCCCTACGAAGATTATATGAAAAAAAGTTGAGTACGATTTACAATAAAAAAAACTTTTTAAACATTCCAGGAGTTTAATACAGACCTTCTTTTGAGCAGCTTCAGTGATCTTTTTAATTTTAAAGAATTGTCCGGTATAATAATGAACTCCACTAAATAATACCAAAGAAATAGTATGACCTTCTTTTTCAATAATCTTGAGAATATTATCAAGTGGAACAACGTTTTCTCCTTCAGGTGGTGTCACTTTGATCAACTCTTTAGCAGGATCTAATCCATGAAATCTAATTTGAGATTCCACAGCGTACTTAAAATATCAATGTAAAATTTAATTTTTCTATTTTTTTAAAAAAAATATTCATATATAAAATAATATATATATATACGAATACTAACAAGATCCGATGGAAAAGCCATTGGCTCAATTAAAATCTTTTTTCGGTTCTTTTTTGTAGTTGGTGTATAAAATGATGCCATAAGTAAATGTAAATTCGAAGTAAGAGTATTCATAACAGCAACCTCAATAGGTTTAGCACCTAAAGATACATAATTTAAATTATATCATCATGTATAAAAATTTATGAGAAGAATAAATAATTTAATTACCAACAATCTCTGCCATTTTATCTATGACATTATCTTCAATGGATATCCATGGTCGTTTATGTTTATGCTTAAAATGACCAACAACACCTCTTTAAACGTTTTAAAAAACGAAATTTAATAAATCTTTTAAAACAAAGATTAAAATTTATAATACAACATATAAAAACTGATATATACGATGAAGCCCATACGTCAAGTTCTTGATTAACCAAGTCTCTTGTACGTCTTGGCATTAATCCAAGTGAATTACCACAAAAATAAACTGAATCATCCTCAGGACTCAATGCCTCTTTAATAAGGGAATTAAATAAAAATTCAAAAAATTTTGGTTAAACTTATTTTAAACTACAATTCCATTAATTTAATTAAATGAACAACTTGAAAGAGCGTTTAAAGACAGCCATTTCCATTTTTATAACTTACCAACACCATCACTAACAATATCACGAGCTTTAGGGATAGTAAATTCGTATCTCAAATATTTTAATTTATCATTTTCATCAAGATATTTAGCAAAATCATTACTTAAAGGATCAACTTTTCCTCTATTAGCAAGTTTTTCTAAGAATTCTTTAACATCTTTTACACCATGTTTAATTTTTTGATATTTAATTTCATCACTAAGATCATCTGTAAATTCTTTAAGATGTGGTGCAAGTATACCGAACATTACAATTTAATTTTTTTCTTCTTTAAAAGCTTCAAGAAAAGAACAAAAAAAATTGCCCCCTTTTTTTTTGCTTTTCGCAGTTAATTAAAAAGGATCTACAATTTAATTATAGAATTATAGGAAATATTTTATTTACTATACAAGGTTATTAAAATAAGTTAGGATAAGGGTGGTTCTGTGAGGTTGGAGAAATCCCTTATCATTCATATTGGCGGATTTGTGACAATTAAGTTTAAGTGGTTTTTAAATATAGAATTTCGGATGATCCGTTTTGTAATATCCTGATAATTGATCATATGATCAATTGTCTTGTGTAATGAGCTCATATGGTTATGACAATTACCCCAGCTGGTTAATTGCCCAAAGAATCCTCTGAAATAGAAATTAATGTTACATTTTCACGTTATGAGGATTTGTTTGATTGTCCATCAGTTCATGAAACATTTTTAATTCATTTGATGGAATAATCTCAAAATCCAAATACAAAAGATTATATAATTGTTTTTGCAGATGTAATAAAAGATATACAGTATTAAATAAAAATTTAGCTGGTTTAAATTATAAATATTACATAATATAATATAAATATTGAATATTAAAATCAATAACTTACTTCCTGCATTCTGCTAGTTAACTAGGAAATGCTGAAATATCTCGTTAACTGAAATTACGTTGATTCCGGCCAGAATTAAGATCTACAAATCACATTCTTCAGTGGTCGCACAAACTTCCCGAGTTACAGTACCCATTTTCCAGACATACTGAACACTCTTACTTGAAAGAACAAGCTTTGTAAATTAATCTTTGGAGCATTTCCCAATCTTTTAAACCTTTTACTTTGAAAGTCGTTGACTTATTGGGTTTTCACTTTACCAATTGATTTTTTTCCTTTAGAGTTGCTTTTTCTAATGAAAATATAAACTGGCAAAATCATCAGCGACATAACCCTTCGCTCCTTCATCAATAGGTGGTCAATAATTCGCTTGCTGATTAATTTGGCTTGTTGTAATAACCACCACCAATCTCATTAGTGGGCTTCCGCTTTTTAATCTTTCGACTTCTCACTGAGACGAAGCGAAAGAACTAACTCGGTTTGAAGCTGGTCTAGTTCATCGGTTAACTTTATTCATTTGCTCCACCTTGCAGATTTCTCTTGTAAATTATAAATCTTTTCACGTTAGTTTTAGAGTTTTCATCGCAGGAATTTCTATTAACTCTGTTTATTCTTGATATTATCTCCTTTGAATGGTTTCTTTTTCCATTAACATCAACAACTTATTCTAACAAAATATTCTTAAATCTTTCTTTAGCTCGATTTTTCTCATTAATCATAATACTTTAAAATGAAAATACTTATTAAGTAAATTGATTTTATGTTTTCTATTTCAATATGAAATGATAAATTTATATCAACGATATCAACGGAGGAAGTATCCCTAAAAGATGATAATATTCCCGAAGCCTAGGCGAAAAACTAGTTCAAAATCAAACAACAAAGGCAATTATATTATTCAACCGTAGCATTTTTTCTAAAAAGTCACAAGTATACTGCTAATCTATCAGGTTTATAACATCAGAAAAATTCGGATAAAAAAAAAAAGAAAGGATTTTCATATTTTTCATAAATGAAATTACCCATTAGGAAATTATTTTAAATGGGAAATTACAATGTACTTTATCAAAATTCCATTTTAAGCCAAATAAAAAAGTTGATCGTCTCATCTGACCAAAATATTATTTGTTTTAGTATATAAAAACGCACTGAGAAAGTTTTTCATTTACAGTTATTGTTACTGTGAAACCTATTTGTCACGCTAATGCATATTTCTTATACATATGAAAGTCATACGAGTTGTTGTTAAAGCGTGATAATTAATGCAGTGATATGTAATCGTCTAAGTTATAAAAGGACTTTAAATTCGCTTTTCCGTTTATCTCTCCGCTCTTACAGCGTGTAATGAAAGATAATTAATGATTATCGTATTTTTGATATAATTGAATCCGCTAGTAATGAATAATTTATATAATTAAGGAAATTAAAGAAATTAAAGAGAAATAAAAAGCAACCCTTGAGAATTTTTTTAAACAAGTATTAAACGTCCTCCACCTTTGGATTGTAATTAATGTCTGACTATCAAAGCTTTTATCCTCCTCCGAAACAACAATATGGCGGTTATCCAATACAAGAACAACCGCAACGAATTCAAAGTTATCCGCCAGCATTACCAAGCGCACATTTTTTTAACCCTAACCAAGAAATTCAATTTGCAGCTGAGCAAGATATTTATAAGCAAAATCATTACAAAAGGACTAAACGTGTAAAACTCTTGGAAGGAAATTTTGTTATAGAATGTCCTGTGCCTTCAAAACTCTTATCGATTGTTCCTGAACAAGATGACAAAGAATTCACTCATATGAGATATACTGCTTGTACTTGTGACCCTGACAACTTTCGAGAAAATAAATACACACTTCGTCAAGTACTTTATGAAAAAAGTAGGCAAACCGAATTGTTCATTGCGATTACTATGTATAACGTAAGTATCCATAATGAGATCCAGCATAAATGCTGCGCCACTGTTCTTGGTACGCAAAAAATGAATGTATGCTGTTTCAGTCAATTTTTTTTTTTTTTATTTGTGTATAGGAAAATGAAGTTCTTTTCGCTCGTACATTTCATAGTGTTGTAAAAAACATAGTTCATCTTTGTTCTCGTGATCGATCACGTATATGGGGTAAAGATGGATGGAAAAAAGTCGTAGTATGTATAATATCTGATGGTCGAAAAGAGATCGATCAACATGTTTTGGCTTATTTGGCTGTTATCGGCGTCTATCAGGACGGTATAGCCAAAAATAAAGTTAATGACAAAGATGTTACTGCTCATATTTATGAATATACAACCCAAATTTCAATTAATCCTGAGATTCAAGTAAAGGATGCTGATGAAGGAATCGTTCCAATTCAAGTGATCTTCTGTCTTAAAGAGAAGCAAGCGAAAAAGATTAATTCTCATCGTTGGTTCTTTAACGCTTTTGGTCCTATACTTAATCCAAACGTTTGTGTCCTTCTTGATGCTGGCACCAAACCTGGTAGTAATTCCATTTATCACTTGTGGAAAGCTTTTGATCTCAATGTAAACATAGCGGGAGCTTGTGGTGAAATCGTTGCTATGAAAGGTAAAGGTAGTGTAAATTTGATGAATCCCATAGTAGCTGCTCAAAACTATGAATATAAAATGTCAAATATTTTGGATAAACCCCTCGAATCCATCTTTGGATACATAACTGTATTACCTGGTGCTTTTTCCGCTTATCGCTACACCGCTTTACAAAATGATCATAATGGAAAAGGTCCATTGGCTTCTTATTTTTTGGGCGAATTCCAACGAGGTCGTGATGCCGATATTTTCACTGCAAATATGTATCTCGCTGAGGATCGTATTCTTTGTTTTGAATTAGTGGTAAAACGTAATAATTCTTGGGTATTGCATTATGTAAAATCTTCTTATGCTGAAACTGATGTACCTGACACCATTCACGAATTTATTTCACAAAGACGACGTTGGTTGAATGGATCTTTCTTTACTGGTGTTTATGCTATTTGTCATACTTTTTCCATTTGGAGGAGTAATCACAACTTTCTTCGTAAGATATTTTTACATATTGAAATGGTTTATCAAGCTATCAGTCTAATTTTTTCTTGGTTTGCTTTGGTAATTTTATATTAAAACTATTATTATTCATTTCGCAATATTTTATTAACATTTATAGTTTATCTTTAGGGTAATTTCTTTTTGACTTTTTATATTCTTAGTAAATCACTCACGCAACCTGATGTCGCTGAAGGTCATTGGGATGTAAAAACTGGTAAAACTATATTCGGAATATTACAATACGTTTATTTGACAATACTACTTGTCCAACTTCTCCTTGCTATGGGTAATCGACCTCGAGAGTATTTATTTATTTTTTTTTATTATATCTTTTTTTTTTAATAATGTGTACCGTATTATTTAATTTAACAATCAATTACACTTTAATTATTACAGTTCAAGATGGACATATATTTTTTCAATAACATTCTACGCGGGACTTATGATATATTTATTGCTGGCAACTGGCTGGATTACTTACAAAGGAGTTTCTCAAGAGATAATAGGAAAACATTTTAGCATAAATAGCTTTATTAACACAAAAACAACCCTTTGGAATATTTTTCTTTCTATTGCTTCAACTTATGGAATATACATTATAGCCAGTCTCTTGTTCCTTGAACCATGGCATTTGTTATCAAGTTCAGTGCAATATTTGTTGTTAATTCCGTTCTATATTAACGTATTGCATGTTTATGCCTTCTGTAATATACACGATGTTAGGTAATTATTTTTTGATGTCGGGTTTTCTTTATTTAAAGAAAATAATAATATTAATGATAACAATTACACTTATATATCATGATAGTTGGGGTACTAGAGACGACACTTCAATGGAACATGATTTGGGTGTGATAAAAACCACAGAAAAAGGAGAAGTTGAATTAGAGATTTCAGTTGAACAAGAGGATATTAACACGGCGTATGAAGAAGCAAAAATCAAATTAATGCGTCATACAGAAGTTAAACGTCAATTGAAACCTGATAAATATAAATCTTTTCGTACACGCATTGTATTTTTCTGGCTTTTTTCTAATGCTATTTTAGCTATTGGAATTATAAATGGAGATGAATCACTAAATATTATACCCTTGTCTTCACAAGAACGTTACAATTATTACATGCTAGCTGTGTTTTGGTCTATGACTGGATTATCTGTTTTCAGATTTATTGGTAGTTGTATGTTTTTATTGTTTAGATTGTTTACTGATTAGATAAATAATTTATATGTTTTAATAAGAATTGTAAGGATTTTAAAATTCGTATAAAAGTTTAAATGCCAATTGACTTGAGATTTAATTTAAATTGATCATATGCAAATTAGCAAATATGATATTAAGTAAAAAATTGTTTTCAAACTGTCACATTCAATTACATTTTATTATGAAATTAGATTTCAATTACTAGTAAGAATATATATAGTATAAAAAAATTTTTTAAAAAATATATAATATAAAACATTATATTTTTAATTTTTAAAATTAATGTAAAAAATTAATAGTTATATAGATTTTAATTATATTTTTACATAACAAATAAACTTTATACCAGATTTTATTTTCTAATAACATTTAATTTTAATGAAAATTAATATTCAAATTCTATATAAAGTTATTTAAATTAATAAAATTAATAGATTTAATACTAAAAATTTAAACTTAAAAATGTAAATTTTTATAGTAATTTTATTTTAAAATTAATTAATATAATAGTTTTATAAAATATTTTTTTTAAAGGCAAATTTATTCTTCATTCTGAATGAAATTTAATATTCTTTACCTCCCTTCCAAGTTATAAATTGTTAAAAATGTCAAAAATAGTATTTATAATTTTTCTTAAATTGAAGTATTAAGTAAATTTATTAAGTAGGCAAAATTACTTATAAATTATAGTTATACAAAACTTATATTAAGTTTTATTTAAAAAAAAAATTCTTTTATCAAAAATTATATTATTTCTTTTTGGAAATAATTGGTAAATAATTGGTATAACATCATTTTTATATATTAAAGTATTCTTATAATATGTAACAAGTATACTAATTATATTATATTTCTATAATAATATGTGATAAATTATGCCAATTATATTATTTTTTACAAAATTTTTTCTTTCAAAAAATAAACTTCAATAAATATATTTATATCTTTAAAATTATATATATAGAAAATAACTACATTTAACTAAAAGGAAAATTTCCTTCTCCTAATATTTATTAGAATTAGGGATTAGAATTAGAGTTAGTTTAGGATTAATTAAAAGTTAAATTTATTTATTACAATGTATTACATTCTTATGATTTTCATTTTGTTAATTAATCTGAAAACTTAAAAAGTTTTATTATTAAAAATCCTATTTGTCATTTTTATTTATTATAAGAAAAATTTTCCTCTAATTAAAATTAAAAATTTTTATATGTATTTTTATTTACTTTGCAAGTTTATTTAGAATGATAAAGGATTTTTGATATAAAATTTAAATACATTTTTTGTAAAAATACATTTATATATATTTGCATTTTTATAATATATGATAAAATTGAATGCCAAAAATTTTAATAATAATTAGAATTAAATTACTAAAATTTCAAAACTATTAAATTTACTATTATTAAATTTCAAATGATTGCTAAAATTCCAAATTATTGCCAAAATTATAAACTATTACTGAAATTTCATTGAAACTTAAAATTAAATTCCAAATTTATCAACTGTATAGTAAAAGTATTTCAGTTCTTAGAATATAATAATTGTTAAAATCCTAAATTTCAAATTTGTCAAAATTTTAAACTATTGCTGAAAATCCAAAATTGATGTCAAAATTTCAAAATTTGATTTGAAATTTTAGTTAAAAAGTTTTAACATTTGCCATAGTTAAAATATTTTGGTATTTAACTCTAATGTGTGATAAATTATAATGATTATATATAATTTAAAATGCATTTTTAAAATAATTAACAAAATAATTAATATTATTTTTGTTTACTTTGCAAGTTTATTTAGAATAACAAAGGGTTTTTACTGTAAAATTTAACTTAAATGCATTTTTTTGTAAAATATACTATTACAATACTTTAAGTAATATAATCAATATAATTTGCTATATATTATAGGAATATTATATTAAATTCAGAAGACTTGCTGTGAATGAAAGATAAATTTTTTCTTTTTTAAAATTTTTTAGTAAATTAAATTAATAATAAATAAAATAAAAATAAATATTAAAAAATCATTATTTAAAAATTTATATTGACTTGCATTATAGTAATTTTAATCAGAATTATGAAAACTTTGCTAAAATTAAAGTTTATAAAATAGTTGTTTAATTTTATAAAAATTATTAAAAATAAAAAATGGTTATATAATAAAATTTTTTTTATACTTAATAAAAAGAAAATTATTTATAGATCACACTATATTATCTATTTATTTTTTTTAGAAATATTTAAGAAATTCAGTTTTTTTTAATATATAAAATTATATTTATCATTAATACTTGTCATTGCATATAATTTTATAATACCAGTTAAATACCAGTTAAATATTTTTTTAGCCAGATTTTACTAAAATAATTCATATAATTTATAAATTCTGATTTATAATTAACTAGAATTATAATTAACTAATAATAATAACATAATACTAATATAATCTGATTTTATAAATCAATTCCTTTAAATAAAGTTAATAATATAAAATTAAAATCCAATTACTAAATGAAATTTTATTATAAAGGTTTTGCACTATAATATAATGTAATATCCATAATTCAAATTTTTATATTTTAAACAGTAACATAAATAAAAAATAAAAAAAAAATAATGTATTAATATTACTTTAACTATTTCAAAATAACTAATGTTAAATTTAACAACTATCAGATTTTTCATATTTTACATCTCATGCATTTAGAAGACTAATATAATGTCAATCCTTTTAATATAATTTTTACCATTTATTAATTGATTATACGAAAAAAAAATTTTTTCTGTATAACACGCTCTCTAATTACAGAATGGCTACGCAATAGTTAAAAAAAATGTCCTCGAGGTAAATCTAACTAAATAGGTAAAGTCATTAAATTATTCTAAGAGACCAAAATTAGAAAAAGTGATACAAGTTATCCAATTGACCTAAATTTGGTAATGATTATATATATAATAAATTTCGAGTCGGAGTAATAAAATGTTACACTATATGCTATATTAGATTTCTAAAACCTATTTCTGCCATTGCTGCAATAACGGGGCCAAGAAATTTCAATATTTCCGGTATTTCCGGTCTAAAAAAATGTCATTTTGTATGAAAGGGCTTATAACTTTTAACCGAATCTAATCAAATCAATATAAAAGTACAATAAAAAAATAGTACAATGAACAAATCTTTTTTTTTAAAAAACAATAGAAATTTTTTATCCATTATCTTTGTGATTCATTCTATAAATTACTTTATTTATAATCTCTTTTTTATATCGAATACTAAATTGAGTGATTGAGTAAAGTCAAACATCCTGACTATCCATTGTATCATACTAGTTGTCAGTACAGTATCCGCAGTAGATTAAAAATTAATAAAATTCATTTTTAAAAAATCAAAATTTACATTAAATACTTTATAAATTCAAAATTCATTTTTTAATAAAAAGAAATTTATGAAAAAAATATACAAGTATCATATAATCAGCATCATCATCTGCTTCACACATAACAATACTTATTTAAAGAAAAAAAAAATAATACAAGCAAAAATAAAGGAAAATAATAAATAACACCAAAAAAAAAAAAAATAAAATAAAATAAAATATAATAAAAATAAGTATAAGGGTAAGAATAAAAAAAAAATAAACTAATAAAATATAATGTATAGAAAATTTTAAAAAACAAACCCCCAATAGTAATAATAAAAATTCAAGACTAATATATACAAATTGAAGATGCTGAACCATTTCGCCTTTTCACAATATTGTTAAGAAAAAATAAAATATCAAAAAAAAAAAAAAAAAGTTATTCACTTGTTTTCCCTCTAAAATTTTAATATTTTGGAGCTTTAAAAGAAAGAGGACGTGTACTTTGCGGTGGCGGTCGAATCGCAATTGCATCGTCTTTTGCGGTTGGGTCACCACCAACACTAACACTCTCTGAATATCTTTGTTGTCCGTAAGGATGGACATGGTTCATCACATCATCTACTCCCGTCGTAGAAACTGCAATCCTTTTATCCTGTTGCTGCGATGAAATTTGATGTGAAATATTTTGATCAATTGCAAAAATTACTTGTTGGATTCCCACATGTCCATTGTCACTATGTCCTTGTTTCATCACATCATTCCCAATCGGACCTCCAATAGATGTTGCTACCATATTATTTACACCACTATTACTATTATTATTATTATTACTATTATTATTAATTCCGATATCAGCTTCATTCAGTGGTTCATAAACTTCATCAAATCCAGTTAATTCCATCTTTTCTCTTACAGCAGCGACCCAGTCTTGATTATCCTGATTTTTCAAGAAATCCACCAACTTTGAAAATTCTTCAACCAAAATTCTTTCCAATTTGGCTCCGCTCAACTCCTTAGTCATCAATAATACACCTTTACCTAATAATTCACATAATATGCTTAAACGCCATGCACAATTCAATCGATGTTTTCCGACTTCTTTACCACCCGTTTGTTCTTTAATATGAAGAGTAACAGTTGGATCTATAAATGAAGAATAAGTTGGAAAAGTGATTGGAGATGGATCTGTTGAAGAAGGTGAAGACGTATGATTTTTTTTATTAGGAGAACTTGTTTGATCTGAATGAATATTTTGTGCAACTTCTTCTTTGTAAGCATTATATGTGGTAAATAGTTTATACAACTCTAAATTAGAGAAAACTTTTGAAGAAATGCCATCAATACGGGATGTAGGTGGTGATTGGAGGAGGTGACATAAAAGATTCAAACGCGGGGATGATGATAAATTTGACGAGTTATTTGGAGGCCTAATACCGGAATAACTTTCTTTAATGGAGGATATTAACGCTTTTGACTCTTCAAGTCTTTGGAGAAGCATAACTTTTGTAATTCCCGTGAAAAGCTTTTTAACAGCTTCACAACCTAAATGAAAAGGATCGATTCGTTAATAAAAGCCTTTTTGAGATATCTTAACTTATCTTATATTTCTTTAAAAAAATTAACTTACTCAATGGAGGAGCTTTATGCTTATCCGTTGAACGTCTTTTATTAGATGACGTGTTCGGTGTTACGCAATGATCTTCATCGGAAGGACTGTCGCTGTTACGTTTTCTTTTAGTGGCAGGCGGTCTCCAAATTTCAGTTTCCGTCTGTGGTTCTTCAACGATTTCATCTTTCTCTAATTCATCCATCATATCTTCATCTTCATCTTGTTGATTATGAGGATGAGGATGATGATGATGAGGAGGATGATGATGATGATGAGGGACAGATGTCAAAGGAGGTTTGAATACATGAATTTCAGAAACATTATTCATCATATTGTTAGATCCATTAGTTAAATAATCATTATTGTAATGAGATGAAGGAAAGAATTGATTACGTTGATCTTCAAATTCAACGGTGTATTCGCGAGTATTAGCACTATTACTAGAAACAAGGTGTGTAAACGTAATCTTATTCGAGAATAAAAGTCCCCTTAATCCCACCTCATCAAGCACAGCTTTTACTATGCATAATAAACTAGCTAGCTTTAATGGAGATTCTTTACTTTTTTCTTTTAATACTTCTATAAGTCTAAGAGTTTGAGAGTCGCTAAGAATGTCAGCGATTGTAGGTTGTAAAAGTACAGAAGGGGAAGTAGAATTTCTACCAGCTTCTAAGGAAGCATTTTGAAAAGGACGTTTATTATTTTCACAAGACGCGAATTCAACAACACAAGATTGTCCTTTGAACTCAAACGCAACTGATTTTTTATTACCAAACACGCTTTCGGGGAAATAGGGCTTGCCTAACACGTATCTTATAACATTTAGAATACTCGCTAGCGAATAAGCTGACACAAATGATTTCTCTCGTAATATTTCAGCTGCTTTTAAAAGTTGTACGTCCGTTACGACGTCGGCTATAGTCGGACGCACGTTTAATGGTGAGGAAGAAGTAGTGGTTGTGTTTGTATATTCTCGCATATTTTTTGGTTTACTATTATTATTATAGGCTGTTAAGAAAAAAAAAAAATATTTCGTGGTATTCCAGCCCACGTCTATGTATAAAGAAGTTTTTGTCTATTTTCTTTTTTTTTTTTTTTTTGTNATGAGAAATATAAAAAACCGCAAACTAAAAAAAATTATGAGAGAACAAAAATTCTAACGGGCGGTGCCGTGCGGTGCGGAGGTCATAAATACTGTTTAAAATAGAGTTTTTTTTTTTACTTGAACTGAAAAAAATAAGCCTTCTTTGTATGACTCTAAGTTCGGCCCGTTTCTCCGGATAGGATTGGATCATCATGACGGAAAACCGCCGAATAAATTTTACTCAAGATGTCATTTGATAACTTTCGTAACCTTCGGCACTAAAATCGGAATTCGTACAACGAATAGATGTCGGAATCAATATGAACTTCATCCCCCATCTTGAATGTTTTTATATAAGCGCATAAAAAAAAGGTCCATTTTTAATACAAACTGTTCCCAATTGGTTTTGAGCTACCCAAATATGAAACATGATCCCGAGTTACATCGGTCACGAGATGAAATTGTTACTGAAAAATTTTTTATGATTCAGAAACTTTTTTAAATAAAAAAAAAAAATGTTCAAAAAACTGCCAATTTATTTTATATCAAAACGACCAATTTGTACAATTAATTCTAAGGAATGCTTCATGAAAAATTTCGATATCAAATGTAAACTTTCTTTGAAGTTTTTATTATAACAACAATTTAATTTGCGTTATATTTATTTATTTATTTAATTTGCAGATTTTAATACACGAATTATATCAAGATTATACCAAACAAAGCCATCAAAAAATGATTTTGCATCTACTTCCACTAATACAAAAAAATCAAATTTTACCAAGATAAATGAAGAGCGTGTGTCGTCACTTTCACTCAAAGAATCAGTTAAAACTTTTAATGATCGATTAAAAAGAGGAGATGTAGTGATTTATAGAGCACCGGAAGATTCAAACAAGTTCTTTTGGTGGTGGCATATTGCCGCTTTCTTACAATTAATATTTTGGTACTTTTAAATTTTTTTTCTTTTTTTCTTTTAAGAATTCTTTGTATCTGATAAATTTTTTCTCATGAATCAGGGTAAATTTGGCTGAATTGTCATGGAGATATCAACAAAAAAAAAAAGAAGTGTAAGTAAAAAAGTAAAATCGATCAATTTTTATTATCTAATATGCGATTTATGACCTTAATTTTCAAAAACAAGTCAGGAATCCAGCACATTTCTTGATAAATACAAACCAATCATGTATGTAGCATCATATTTATTTGCAGGACTTGGAATTGGTGCAGCAATGTTTGCAATTCCTGCTAGGTAATATATAATTAATTACATCTTTTCTTTTAAATTTACGGTAATATTTGCTTATTATGACAGATTTAAATTTATAGGAGTATTCTAACTATGATTATATTAAAAAATGGAACAATGGCAAAGATTATAACAGGCAGAAAATATCGATGGGGCAGAGAAAAAAAGATTCCCGTAAAAAAGCTGTATATAAATCAATCTGTGTGTAATAACAAAGGTAGATTTTAAGAAGTGATGTTTATAATCTATATAAATTTTAATAGATTACATATTATGCTAAATAGGATCAGGGAAAATGATAAGTGCTTTATTTTTACGAAGTGAATATGAAAAAATGGCATATATGCTAGAGAGATCAGGTAAGTTTGAGAATCCTAGGATATTTGATTTATTATTTTATAAAAATCCAAAAGGTAAGTAATTCTAATGTGGTAAGCATTCACTGTTTATATTAAATACACTTATTTTATATTTTAAGAAAATAAATTGATTGAATTTGTTGATTATAACGAATATTTCCTATTTCTTTGTGTCATATATATATATATATATGTATATATGTATACCAACATTCCGGTAGCTTTAACTATAATTATCGTCACTTGCCTTTTTTATTGATTTTAGCAGCAACGTTTTCGGTACAATCATATAAATCTCTTAATAAACTAATACAATATTTTTCTGGATTAGTCTCATTTTCATTTAAACACTTTTCGAATGCTTGTATTATTTCATTACATTGTTCTTTAATTTGTTTTAGTAATGGATTACTTGATTTTTTAAAAAAATGAAAGTAAATATATAATAAATTTTATATTATTTTATCACTTTAAAAACACGGCACTTACTTATCTTCGGAACATTTACTTAATTCGTTTTTTTCCTTTTGACAATTATACCGTTCCTTTGGATTATTTTCTATACATCGTTGATATAATTCTAATTGAGTTGAACAATGTTTGATCACAAATTCAAGTGTTGATTCCATTATTCAATTAGAATTTTATTTGTTTTATTTAGATCGATTATTGAAAATTTTTTTTTAGACAAGTCATTGTGATTTTTAGGGGTTAATTATCAGGGGCATTTTTCTTCCCATTGACTCGTAACACAGTTTATAGATCAACAATAATATTCAATATCGAAGGTAAGATGGCGTTGAGGCTTCCGGTCATAATGATAATCAAACTCTGTAAATCACTTCTTTTTTAAACAGTAAACTTTCTCAAGATACCGATCGAGATATCAATTTGGATATCGGAAAGAATTTTTTTTTTTTTTACTCATTTTATTTACGGAATGCGGAATTATTTATCCTGTTAGATTGTCCGTTTTTAGGTCGGGAATTACTTTATTCCACTCCATTTCCTTTTTTGACTCGCTTATTTTGAAAATTGTAATAAATCGGAGATTATACGGATATAAAACGTTTTCAGTTTATCATTTTTACCCGTTATTTCGGTAATTCTTAGATCGGCTAAATATTTTAAACAAAATTTCATTTTTCTTGTTTGACCTATTAATCATTATGATCGATCTTTTTAAAAATTTCATTTAAATGTATAATGAACAAATGAAAATGGAAATTCAACAATGTAACGTACAATCATAATGAGAATTATTTTCTTTTTAGAACATTCCGTTCAGATTAATGAATCAATTTGAAACAAACATGATACAATTGAAATATGTTTAAAGAGGAAGATCATTACTGTGTAATTTAAATATTACAGTCTTTTATCTGAAAAATAAAAATGTTCAAAATAGTATAATAAGGATTATTTACTATATAACTTTATGGAATGATTTTATATTGATTCTTACATATTCACATATGAAAACTGGTCTGAATATAATTAGATTTGCAAAATTTTCTGACATTTTATTACAGGTCATTACAATCGACTCCAACCCCTTAAAACAGTATGCGCTCAAGGTAATACAATACGTGATAGGTCTAAGCCTCTAAGGTAAAATACCATTTACAAGAATTTCTAAGGTAATAACAAAACCATTTTAATAATTATAAGTCATGTAACTAGTGTTTTTCACCTATTGGCTACTGGTTAATGTAAAATTGCTCTTATTTATAATTACTTTAACAGTTAATTTCAATTTATTACAATTATAAATAAATTTGTAGTTTTTTAAAAAATTAAATTAATAATTCAAACCATTTTGATAGTAATCATAAAAAAAAATGAAAATTTTTATTTCACTAACTAAATTTAAATATTTATAATTCTGGCCATCCTATAAAAAATTTTATCCATTATTTCTGTAAAAATTCTGTAAAAATGAGCCTTTTCACAGATCTATTTACATAAAATGTAAATAATTCAATAAATTCCATGATATAAGGTTATTATAATTCTGGAAATATGAGTCTTTTATGGAAAAAAATGGAAAATAAAAAATGTATTGACTTTTTTACAAGGCCAACATTATATAACTACTCAATTTTCTGTCTTATGATATATAAATTATAATTAACTTTTATACTAATAATAGTAAATTATTAGCATATAATTAAAATTCTAATCAATTTAATTCAATTTAGTTTAGTATTAATGATAGTTTTAGTAATCATTAATATTTTTTTTTTTATTTACCCTCATAGGAATCGATATTTTATTATAGTAGTTAGTCTATATATTTATAAATATAAACCTCTAAAATACCCTATTCAACCAGCAAATGTTTCCAATAAGCTAGTAATTATTAATATTAATACTGATAATAATTACTAAAAATTAAACTAATTATATTATTTTTATTAAATTTATACAAAAATAATAAAATTACATTTTTTATTAAATTACACTATTTATTAAAAATGATTTTATAACATTTTTATTAAATTACTTATTAAAAATGATTTTAGAATTTTATGATTTATTATATTAGTGATGCATCACACCCTTTTTTTATTTGTATCACATCCCTTTCTCTTTATTTTTTATATATATTTCAAAAACTAAATTTTTTCAGTTATAAAAAATATATTTTTTAGACTTTAATATATTTTAATTTTACATAATGCAATATATCATAGTAAAAATGCTGCTTAAAACTATTTTTCAGTTTCTGAAACTACAATTAAATCTAAAACTAAAACTAAAACTTATTTGAAATTCTGAAACTATTCCAAAACTTCTAAAACTATTTTAAACCTCTCAAAATTAGTTCAAAACTTCTAAAACTAGTCTGAAACTCCTAAAACTATTACACAGATTTTAAAAAAAATATTAGTAAATATTTTTTATCATAAAAATAAAAAACTGATTAACTATATAGATGTCTAACTGTATATACTTTTATTGGTACTATTAACTTATATAATAGATTCTGTGTTGTGACTAAACACTTTTTCATATTCTCTCACATTTGTTTTAAAAAAAATAGAAAATAAAAATTAATATGTTTCTTTCAAATTTATATGCAAAATTAATAATCTGCAAATTTTTGTAACACAATTTGTGGTTCAAGCAAAAAAGCTTTTGAGTTGATGATTACTACTTCAGATTAATTAGATCAGTAGAATACCACTATTCTGCTAGTTCTATTGAATTAGTGATCGTCTATTAATACAGGTCAAAAGGTATTATTCCAAATTTCAAAAAATGCAAATTTTACATTTTCCTGAAAAATAGAGTGTAATTATAAAAAATGCTGCATTATATTGAGCAATTTTTTGAAATACTAGTATTGCAAATTTTATGAAAATTTGGAAAAATACTTCATAACATTATTATAATATTGTCAATTAAAATTAAAATTTGCTTTTTTTTTGTCAAATATTTCCAAATAATGCATTTTTATAAAAATTCTGCATTTTACCAGGACTCCGGATATTACATATATAACTCAGTGGCAACTTTTTCACAAATTGACTTAAATTTCACAAAAAAAAAAATCAGTTTTTTGTGATTATCTCAGTATCTAGTGGTCTGATTTGTACAAACATTTTTTTGTTTTTTAGCTTTCATCGAGCTCTACAAAATAAAAAAATCTGCATGAATCGGATCACTGGATACTGAGATAATCACAAAAAATGGAAAATAAAAAAAGAGCAAATTGGGTCTTTTTTAGCAAAAAGTCAGTTGTGAGTTTTATAAGAGATGTCCAGGGTCTTGGTTTAGATCTATGATATTTATTAACTTACAGATGTATAAGGTTTTGAGGTGAAGTTCGATTCCTCAACATATTTAATGTATTGACTGGTGAATTCTGAATGGCTGATGTAATATAGGAAGGATCCTATACCCTTAGAACTTACTATCCTGATAGTCACTATTACATTATTAGAAGATTAATAACTGTAATGAGCTGAAATGGTAATTGTGGCTTATAGTGGGCTTTGAATGAAACCATATAAGTTAAAACTACTATGGAAGGTTTTCTAGATATTCATACCATTACATCTGTCTGTACAAACTGATTGTCCCTAAATTGCAGAGTTTACTTTATAGTTTAAATTCTTACTGTACTTAATATATTATGCTAAAATGCCTAATTAAAAATGACTAAAATGCATTCAACTTAATATGGTATTATAGAAGTATAAGAGGATAGTTGTTCTATCTAGACTTTTAAAGTAGGGTTAAATGCTATAAACTATACCTTTGTGAGTTCTCTGTAAAAATACTTACCAAAACTAATTTTTTAAAATTTTAAAATTCAATTCAAAACTATTTTTTATAATAAACTTAATTGCTAAAACTGTTTTTATGCTTTTCTGAAACTAATTATAATTTAGGAAAGTTTTAGATTTACCAATTTTTTCATTAGAAATAAAGTTTTTGAATTTTGAATTTTTGAATTTTATTATTAAATGAGTTTTAGATAGTAACATTAATCTTTTAGTCAGCTACTATAAAATGATTGAAGGATTCACTAAGACCCAATCTACTATTAAGATAGGTCACCCTGTGGCCTAAGGTAAGGTTTACATATAAAACTCTTTAAAGATCCTACTATAAAAGGAAATTTTATGTTACATTGTTATGATTTTTTTCCTTTTTAGTCAATTAACCAATAGAATTTAAGCAAATTCTAAGGTAAGATTTCATATGAAAGTGAAATTTCTACTAGTAATATATCTTAGTAGTAGGCGGGGTTCTAATTCACTACTTGATTTACTTTATACATTAAGAAAACACTTCTAAAAAGTATTAAAAGTATTAACAAAAAAAAAATATTTAGTTTAATATAATATTTAATAACCAATCAAATGAACTTTTTGCAATAAAAAAAGAAAAACCTACCAGAAAAATTAAATTTATATTTATTTATTAAAATACTTTAAATATTATAATTTATTTAGAATTAACATTAATTAAAAAATTTTATTTTAACAGTTTTTTCCTTTTCTATTGTAAAGATCTCAAATTATAAATTATATAATTTATTGAGTATAATATAAAATTTTAATTATTTTTTTCCTTTAATGATTATATATGTATAAATTTTCTAATAAAAATAGGAATTTTCTAATTATCGCTGAAGGGTAATGATCACTAGTTACTAAAATTATGATAATTGATTAGTTAGCATTAAAAAATATAATATTGGTAAAAATTGATAATTCTGATTAACAATAATGATCATCTTAAAATCTAAAAATGATATAAAATTATTTTTAATAATTTAATAAAAGTAATATAAAATCATTTTTAATAAGCAATTTAATAAAAATAGTATAAAATCATGGGTTTTATTTTTTATTGTATTGTAATATAAAGATACTGCCTAAAATTTAGTAGTTTCTGAAATTATCAAATCTGAAACTAGTAAAACTAATCTAAAATTGATAAAACTAATCTGAAAATATTAATTAATCTAAAATTAATAAAATTAATTAAAATTAATAAAAAAAATTCAAAATTAGTAAAAATTAATTCGTGATCTGTTTCTGAACCAATGAAAACTACTAATAAATTTCAGGGAACTGGTTTTACAAATTAATTATCACTTAAATGGCTTTTGAGCTGATTTGCCCAGAATTTTTTTTTTAAATGTTATAG